GAAGCGGTACTTCACGCCGGGACAAAGACTGCTTTTATATAAATCGCAAGTCCGTCCCCATATGGAGTACTGCTCACATCTCTGGGCGGGAGCACCGGCATACCAGCTTGGGCCTTTTGACTCGGTTCAGAGGATAGCTGTGAGAATTGTCGACGATCCAATACTCACAAGCGATATAGAGCCCCTAAGTCTAAGAAGAGATTTTGCGTCTCTATGTGTGCTCTATCGTTTGTACAATGGGTTGTGTTCCGAAGAATTGTTCGAAATGATGCCCACGGCCACTTTCTATCACCGCACCGCTCGCCATCGACAGCGAGTTCATGCTCACACATTGCAGCCCAAATGGTCCCGTACAGTTCGGTTTCAGAGGAACTTTCTCCCACGGACCATCTCGCTGTGGAATGAACTCCCTGCCGAGGTTTTCCCAGAGGGCTACAGTATGGGGTCCTTCAAAAGGGGAGTAAATAGGTTTTTAAAGGATCGGCAACGCGCATGTGATGCCCCAGGTGTTGCAGGCGTCCATAGGCTGCGGTAACCGCTTACCATCAGGCGGGCCGCATGCCTGATTGCCACCGACGTGGTATAAAAATATATATATATATATATATATATATATATAATATATAAAAAAAAAACTATTATAAAATATACGCCACTAGAAAAATAGAAAAAATCTCTTAATACTAAAAGTATCTTAAATACCTATGGAATATTTAAATACGACATAAAGTAGGTACTCATTTGCAAATGTATCTTTAACAGAGTTTATAATACGCGTAATTTATAATTAGTCTATACATATAATAAAATTCTAACTAAGCCGAATCTGTACATTAAATATTTTTTGGAAAATCTTATTAAAGTAGACATTTGTTTCGATACAGAGGCCGAATCTATAGTTTTTAGCATTTTTGTCTGTCAGTTTGTTTGACTGTCTGTGACCGTATCGCAAAAAAACCACTGGAGGGATTTTGATGAAATTTGGTATGGTGATAACTGGCTATACGGGTCTACATATAAGATACTTTTTACCGCGGGAAAATATCTCATTTCTGAGAATAATATAAAAACTGGTTAGAATAAAACCACGATGATACCTATAAACATTTTGGCAAGGTAACTTACAAAATATGGCCAAAAGTTTTAAAAATTGCTTACCTTGAAAAAAAAATTTCAATTGCGTTATTTTATTCATTAAAATAACTCTAAAAATATTTATATACTAGCACAAACAGATCTATCCCACCGGAACCGTTCATTTTTCGGGGATGAAAAGTAACTTGTTGTTTGACCGGCAATATAAGGTATCAGCATGCCAAATTTTATTAAATTAGGTGCGTAAGTTGTTGTGTACTAAGCTGTACAAGTTACTATAGTTTTTTAACTATCCCACGGAAACTCTTTAATTTTTCGAGGTGAAAAGTATCGAAGACGTTGTCCGGGGATATAAGGTACCACAGAGATTAGCCCGAACAAACAGGAAAACAGACAAACAGCTCGCTCGGGTTCGTCCATACCTACGAATATGTTGTATTATCTCTTTAATCATTTGTCCAAATTATATGCAGTAAAAGGGAAAAGTCTTTTGTTTTAAACATTTTAGACGATAAGTTTACTTATTTTGATAAGAATTCATAAGTGTTGTCAATATGACCAATAAACATGACCTACCGATTTAAATTATTTTTTAATATAAAAAAACTACTTTTTGTGACTTAAATATAAAAGTTAGACATATGCTGTCGCTGACTTTTTTGTAGGCATTATTAATCTCTACAACTTTTCTCTAGAATATAATCATATATCTCTCATCCTTAAGGCAGCGTTCGTAAGAAACGTTTTCGTTCGACCATTTTTTCTCCGACTTACTTTGCAAATCCGATTACCACGAAAAAGCCTTTTCATTCTTCGGGTTAATTTATAGCCTATGACACTCAGAAAGAACGTGGCTTTCTATTGGTAAAAGAATTTTGATAATCGGTTCAGTAGATCCAGAGATTACCCCTACAACGTCACAAACTCACAAACTCACAAGATCACAAACTTTACCTCTTTATAATATTAGTATAGATGTGTTTTTTAGATATTCGGCAGTAGATGTCGCCATGTGTTTTTAAAATACGTAGTTTTAATTCCAAAAAATTGAATACATATACCTACACCTATGAACTTTCTAAGATTTTATTACATTACCCGCGGCACCAACTGTGTTCAAATTTATGAATAAAACAAGGTTTTTGCCTTTATCAATTAGTAACATATTTGTAATATTTTGTTGGCCGAAACAATTTTCAAATGAAAATATTTGTAAATTTTTATGGTTTAGTACATGATAAATATTTTAATGTTTTTGTACATGATAAATCCTTTAATTGGCCTAATTCAAGTCCAATTCACGCATTATAGGTTCCTTATAGCAAAATACTGTGTTGTTTTTCTTACTTACGTATAATACTACTTATTTATTATACACTATTCACATAATTACATAATTCACAATATCGATTCATTTTATTAACCGTAAAAATAAGTTCGTTTCGTATTATTTTTTAACATTTTATGGGAAGCAAGTTTATGTCTGTTAAACTGACAAAGCGGCTAACTAAGAGTATTCTAAGCTACTAAACGTATATTTTGAAAGATAATTTTCGATAAAAAGTATTTGAGAAACTTCAACTTTTTCAGATTTTTTTGACACAATTTCTTACGACTTCATTCATATTAGCCGTGCCTGAAAGAACTAAAACCATTTGCTTAGAATTATTAACTTATTTACCTTAATTATGTACTTCTGGAACTAGGTATTTCTTCTTTTGAAAATCATTTCTCAAAAAATTTCTAACAAGCGATAACCCATCCCTGTTTCGCGATAAATTAACTTTAAGAAATGTTATTAATATGTAATTTAAACAGTCAGCTAAATATAATTTAATCAATAGCTGTCTATTAGTAAATAAATGATAAAAATTAATTCAGTAGTTTGGGAGTTTATCGCCCAAAACTAAACAAACCAACAAAACAGATGTACATATAGCCTTATCATAAATGTTATTGTTAAAATAAAAAGTGCAATATTATTAAATCAAATATGAATGATTAACGGAGGAACCTTTGCAGCATTGTCAATCACCGCTATAATTTAACAATCATGCGGTGCGCAATGAAATTGGTATAAGTATGTATTGATATCATCTGAACGCGGGCGGAGCCGCGGGCAATGCTGTTCCCATCTACATAAAAAGTAAAAACCTATGAGTATTTCTGGTGAGTACACAAATGAAAATCACCACTTCGCTATTTATGGGTTACGTAAACACAAGGTGAAAACGAAAACCTTCCAATTTCATTATGTTGAATTGTCAGAGATGAGACTTAGTATCTAGTATAATAGTATATACTATAGATCTTAAATTTAAATATGTGTCATGTGTGTCTGTCTTATCTACACTTTGATTCGAAACGAACGATCCGATGGACAGTACAAATAAATAATATAGTTTTTATAGCTACATATAGAAATGTATATCAGTGTAAAACGTGTGATGAGATATTAGCGTACGTCTACTTTGATACTATTGATTATTGTTTACCCATTTGCACTTTATTTAACACACAGATGACATAATGTTACTCATCTATAGGATTCCATCCGTTGCCTGAAGGCTGAAAATCTTCCCACTGGTACGCTAATTTATAGGGTAGTTATGGTCCTGTTTATGCGCCATCATGCGTACCCTTTCTATATTATATAGTTTGTGTACTGAGTATGTAATGCGAAAATAATATCAATTTAACAGGTAAATTATTAAGAAGTAAGCTGGCGTATTATTGAAGTTATTAAATAGGTAGTCACTAAACAAAATTAAGAAAATTATACAATTATATTAAATAAATATGTATAATTAAATTTATTTTTAAAATTAATTTATAAATATAAGAAACTTTTAGTTTACACTAGTTTTATATGAAAACGCACAAAATAACTGCAAATATTTTTATATTATTACATTATAGCTTAAACATAATTCGAATATAGTCTGGCACATGAAAGTTGAACCTGAAAAAGCACGGCAAATTTAAAAAACTACATATGGCAACACTAGCTATAGTACTAATAAATTGTCTTGATACTTTAAAAAAACATATAAATATTAAGTTTAGGTTTGGTTTTCCTAAGTAAAATACGCACGTAAATAAGTTTAAATTTTACATGAATTCGTTATATTTTATACTTATTCTAAAATATTAACTTGAGGGCAAAGAATAGTAAGATGTCGCAGAAGGCAGAACAGATTAATATTGAACTTGCAACGACTCGGCTATTACCTAATACCTATTCGGTATTCAGTCTATTCGGCTACTTTTTTCCTATTTGGCCGAATACCGAATATTTATTAATATGTTTTGTTGATATCAGATAATTGAAATATTAATTTATTGAATAAAAATATATTTTTCTTATAATTATTAAAGAAGTCATAGGTACATAATCAAGTTTTATATCACAAAAATGAACCAAAAAAGCTATCAAATAAATTTCTATGCATTTGCACTATCATAATTAAAATTATATTGTCACATTTATAGCATGTTGCCATGTAAAAAGTTTCAATTAAATCACAGGCTCAACTTTCGTGTGCCAGACTATAACATACAAACTAATTTTGCCCTCAATATTTGACCGTGTCGTGTGTAGCTTCGGATTTATCATTGAAAAAATTTATCTCAAGTAGAACAAATCCGATCGTTTATTTTTATATACATCCTAATACTTGTTCTTTCATTTAAATTTTCTTGGTAATGGCTACCACACTGACCACGGCATATTATGACATTTAATAGTTTTTTTAAACTGGCAATATACCTACTTATACAATGTCAAATTCAACTGTCACTCTTATTTGTTAACGTCAAACAACTTTGTAAATGCAGTGCCCGCGCACCGCACTGCATTATATATTTTAAAAATTATGAATTAAAGCAAAGTGCAACCTAATAAAATGGAATCTGGAGATTCATTTTTATCATGTGCGGTAACTGTAGAATGGATGACTCCACAAGGATCTATTGTAAGAAAAGTGAACTATAAGACCGCTTCTATGCGTTTAATTCGAAATGAGTTTCGTGAAATGTTTATGGAAATAACAAGTGATAAACATGCTCCAATTCGATTAGCTATAAAAGGTATAAATGTTTTTAAAAAGTTTATGGTTGAGGGTAAAGCAAGCATTAAATTTCAAGAAGCGAATTGTACACTTTTTATATCTAATGCACCACCTACAAATCTAGTATCATTTTTAAGAACTATATTTGTTAAAATGACTGGGGACAAAGAAAAAGCTTCTGATAAAACTCCTTCTAAGCAAACTATGCGAGCTAAATTGTTAAGTGGTAAAGCCCAGGCTTTTGAAGATATAAGTCCTATAACTGTTGCTGATATAAGTTCTGCTAAAAGTAAGATTAGTAAAGCAACTGCAACAACTCCATCTCCGCCATCTAAAAAACGAAAATTGGATGATATTAACAAAGGCCCTGCACCAAAGAAGCTGTATTCTCCATCACCGTTAACAAAAAATAGCTCTTTAAATACTGAGCAACAAAGAGTATTAGAAGCTTGTCTGGGTGGGAAGAATATATTTTTTACTGGATCTGCAGGAACCGGAAAAAGTTTCCTGTTAAAAAGAATTGTTGCTGCTTTACCACCAGATGTCACCATGCCCACAGCATCAACAGGTGTTGCTGCATGCCATATAGGTATATAAAAATAACATTTTTAATATTATCAACCATTTTAAAAGTAAAAAATAATTGAATATACTTGCATTTTTAGGTGGAACAACATTGCATGCATTTGCTGGTATTGGAGATGGTAGTGGAACTATAGAACACCTGTGTGAAAGAGCTGCTAAATTACCCTTGGTAGCTCAAAAATGGAGGAAGTGCAAACATCTTATAATTGATGAAATATCTATGGTAGATGGTACATTCTTTGAGGTAATAATTTTATCACTTTATACAAGGAATATACATGCCACTTTTATTCATTTTTTTTTCTGAATCCTTATGAATTATATCTCTATTAGAACCATTGTTTTGTTATTATACATATATACTATCTTTCTATCTATCAGTCTTGTTATTTATTTTTAAGCTGCATAAATTAATATTTATTGACATAATTCAATAATATAATTGTGGCTTTAGGGTCATATAAAATGTTGATGTGAGTATTGTATGTGACATCATCAATAATCTGAAAATGGTGATCTGTAATCATATTTATTCTAAATATATTTTTTAAATGAATTGAAAACTTTTCCAACCATATTTTTTAATTATAAATATATGTTGGCCACACAGCATTATCTAGTTCCACGGTAAGCTATGAGGCTTGTATTATGGATACCAGATCTTTGATAAACTTTAAATACATACATATTTGTTAATATGACTGTAGTACAAACATTAGTGCTCATCACACAAGTGCCCCCAGCGGAACTAGAACCCATGGCTGCTGGCACAGCAAGTAGGGTCACTACAAACTGAGCCAAACATGTCATCAAACATAAATATTTTATAAAATATAAATGCATATATTAGTGTTATAAGAAAAATTGTGTAAACTCAAAATGTGTTAACATAATTTTGCAATTTTTATTTCAGAAAGTAGAAGCTGTTGCCAGACATGTTCGTAAAAATGAAAAACCCTTTGGGGGTATACAGCTCATTCTTTGTGGTGATTTTCTACAACTCCCCCCAGTTGTTGACAAGGGAAAATCCAGCAAAAGATTCTGTTTCCAAACTTCTTGTTGGGAAAAATGTATTGAACTTTGCTTTGAACTAAAGGAGGTTCACAGGCAAACAGATCAGGAGTTTATCTCAATTCTTAATAATATAAGGATAGGTCGGGTAACCAAAGAAATAAGTGAACGTCTGCTACAAACAGCAGCACAAAAAATTGAAAGTGATGGAATTCTAGCTACTCGTCTTTGTTCTCACACTAATGATTCAAAAATGATAAACATTTCAAAATTACGAGATTTAAATGGTGAGGAGAAGTTGTATTCAGCTCAAGATAGTGACAATGCAAGTACAGTCCTTGATATACAAACTGTAGCACCATCAAAATTACTTTTAAAAGTAGGAGCACAGGTGATGTTACTTAAAAATATTAATGTTAACGCAGGTTTAGTTAATGGGGCTAGAGGAGTTGTTGTAAGATTTGAAGAAGGATTTCCAGTGGTTAGATTTAAAAATAAAAAAGAATATACTGCAAGGAGTGAGCGTTGGTATGTGAAAAATGCCAATGGAACATTGCTTTGCCGACGACAAGTTCCATTAAATTTGGCTTGGGCATTTTCTATACACAAATCACAGGGTTTAACATTAGATTGTGTAGAGATGTCTCTTTCAAAAATATTTGAAGCAGGACAAGCTTATGTAGCACTAAGTAGAGCCCAAAGTTTAGATACTTTGAGAGTTTTAGATTTTGATTCACGACATGTATGGGCAAACCCAGATGTCTTAGAATTTTACCAACGGTTTAGACGACGTTTACAACAAATGGAAATCATTCCTCTTGGAAGGCCGTTATCTGATAAAACTAATAAAAAAGTCAGACTTCGTGAAATTTTAGATAGAGAAATAAGAAGAAAATAGAAATTTGAAATTGTGAGACTGATAAATTAATTTTGGATATTTTTACACATTTAGTAGCAAATACCTTATTTATTATGTCCTTATTATTGATTTTTATTTAATATATTATAATCAGCAGTTTATTTTTTAAGTGAATAAATAAAAGTATATAAAAATTTCATTTTTTTATTTATTACCTGTATTTAATATAATTTTAAACATTTGTCTTATTAGAAATAAATATTAGAAGTATTTGAATGATTCCTAGCGTGATTCCACTGCTGTTAATATTTCAATTTGTTCTTCCAATGTTGCAAGTTTTTCCTGAAGACACTTGACTATATATTTATAAGTTTCCATATTTTGATCCATATCCTGTTTTGAAGATTTTGACTGTTCCATATTTTTTTGTAAAAGATCAACATGTTTTTTATTTTGTACAACATTATCTAACAATCTAGAGTTTAAGTGTTCTTGTTTTTTTATTATAAGCCATAGTTGAGATTCATTGGTGGCATCTATCTTATTTTTCAGGTCTTCAGTTACCATGCTGTCTAAATTTGCTGGTTCCTTAACTCTTTTTATACTGTTCTTTATATCAGCTATAAGTTCTGACTGAGTTAGCTTGTTTAAAAGCCTGTCAATTTTAGACTTTTGAGGGTTCTCATTCTGAAAATACAAAATAAGTGTTTGTCAATGCAGGTTTCTAACTTTCTATAATTATACTGTCAAGAAATTATCAGTAATAGACTGGTCGTAGAAAATTGACAGTGTGCCATTCACATCCTATGAAAATATGTTAGTCCTACCCATGATGTCTGTTTTGGCTGCAGTTTAGTATATGGGATGCGGCCTCTGGAGGAGTGGGTGGTATTTTTGGACAGGGGAGGCAATAAGGAGTCCAAATATTTAAATTTATTTGAGGAAACGAAAAGAGTCAAAAGTTATTGAGACTTAACATTTCCCTTTCTATCCCGGAAAAATGAACAGTTCCCGTGAGAGCCGTTCATTTTAAAAAGTAACCTGTTGTCTGACATGTCAAATTTTACTAAATTAGGTGCATAAGTTGTTATGTACTAAGCTGTGTAAGTTATATTTTTTAAACTATCCCCTGGGAACTCTTTAATTTTCCAGGATGAAAAGTATGTGAAATGTTGACCGGGGATATAAGGTACCACCATGGAAAATTTCATTTAAATCGGTCCAACAGTTTTGGAGATTAGCCTGTACAAACAGAGAAACAAAAAATTTAAGTTAAATTTAATTTAAAAATCTGGATTTGTTGTATTTCACTTCTTACATCCCCCTGACTCAGTTTTTAGCATTTTTTTTCTATGTACAGACATTCGACTTCTACAGTTTTTGTAATACTTTCTTCTTACAATTTTATTATATGTATAGATTATTACCTACATTATTCAATGTATTCAAAAAAACTTATTAAAAAAAAGTATATACTTACTTTTTGTATTTTATTATTAATTGGAAACAAAGTAGGTACAGCATTATCTTTAAGTCTTCTTTGGGAATCAAAATATTTATGTTCAAAGTGCTTAGAACAGATTCGGCTCCTGGACCAATCAAGCAGGGCACATTTATTTCTCAAAGCGTGAAGCCATCTGTTCCTCATTTCATTTGATGTCGGACAGCTAAAAATATTAATTTAATCTTATATCTGTACAGTTAATCTTACGAAATGTTTTACAAAACTACAGACTCAAACTAAACTTACGAATGAAAGGACACCCCAATTGGTTTATTAAAAATTGATATTTTACATCCTTGTATAGCGCAATGTGTGTGCGACATAATGGAGAAATTAAAATTGTTCGACGCTGTAAATAAACAAATATGAAGGTTTTAATAAAGCTTTAAACCATGGATAAATAATAAAAAACTTAAAACATTAAAGATTTGCTTTACTTGACAGTAGACTTGACACTTTTATTTGTCATCCATGACACTGAGTGACTGATAACAATATTATGTGATCACCACAGACCAGAAACAACAAGAGTGAATAGTGATCACAGATTGACTACACTACTTAATGATAATAATCAAGGAACATATTTACTCTAGGGAGATAGTGATACGTTAACCATAAACCACAGGCTATGTATATAATACAAATTATATAAAGCTATTGTACAAAAAGCAAATTTACAAAATAAATGAGACGATAATTAGTATTAAAAGAAATGAAAAAAATTACTCTCTGGAACTTCAGTATCATTATAACTACAATCTGATTTTATTTGTGGAAAAAGCTCCTTTGTTAGGTTTCTGTGTCGTATTCTTTTTTCCCTAGCAGCTGCATAAGGTGATAAAACCTTGGACCAAGGGAAAACTGACGGCACCACATTCTCCTTTAAATTTCGACGTATTAAATTAAAACCTGCAATTTACACTTATTTAATATGTATCTGTAAAAGTTTCAATAGTAGTAAAAAAGTACAATTATTAGGGCTGCCAGAAGAGTCAACTTATTTTATACCGTTGGGTCATTGAAATTATACAAAACCAAATCTTATTATACAAATCAATAAAACTGTTGAGATATTGTGTATGATAATAATTTAAAGTGGACAACGAAATAAAAGGTCATTCCACAGTACAACCTATAAAATAAATTTTAATCATAAACCTATTGTACAAACTTAAAAAAATTAAATTACTTTATGACACATTGACACCTGCGATAAACGTTAAACGTTAACACAACATAACAAATTCAAAAATTCCATTAGGTAATAGGTATATCTAAAATCGATTTGTAAGTTTTTTGTTATTCGATTTATGATTTTTATTGTTGTATCCGATTCTAAGAGGTAATCTGATAAACACACTGAATACATAAGACAACCAAACATACACAATAAACATAAAACTTTTTGTATCCAATTATACGATCTGGCAGCCCAGATTACAAAATAAAATATTCACCTGTAGACGATTTGACAGTTTTATAATCGCTTTCTGTAAAATGGTGTCCACATAACCTTAAATATAAAGATTGTGATTTCGCCAATTTTGGTCGTCTTATCGCTTCAGCCCACAATTTCTTCAGTTTTTTGTCTTTTGGGAACATATGACATCCATTTTCTTTGCATCCTGGCACTGCACAATTTGTCATTTTAATTTAATTTTAAATAAAATGGAAAAAACCCTATGCGTGGCTTCACAATATACTGAGGATTATAGTGAACGCGATAACTGGCGGGAGAAATGGCAAAATACTTCTCCAACCCCATAGTCATGGGGTCACATCACGAACAATGTAAAAGTTAAAAAATATTATAACAGATGGCGTAATATGTATCGATTTGTTTTTATTGTTTATCTAAAATTCAAAATACGAAAAAATATAAAAAAAATGTTTATAATTTTAAATAATTATTTAAAGTAATAGAAAATTAAATAATGGATAAATATATGATATTCTTGTATTTCTCTTTTACTGCGTTAAAAAATAAAAAGTACATAGATAAGTCTAATCAATATGTCTAAACAAATTTTGGTGATGTTTTCATTGTGGCTGTAGATGAATTCAATAAAAAAATGCATTTATTTTATTGACATTAAGTACAAATTTTTTTTTATCCCGTCGCGATCACTAATATAGCCCTCAGTATATTGTAAAGCTCGTATAACGTGGATGGATTGTTTTCATTTTATTTAAAATTTAATTAAAGTGACGAATTGTGCAGTGCATGGGGACAAAGAAAATGGATATCATTTGTTCCCGAAAAACAAAAACTGAAGAAATTTTGCGCTAAAGCAATTAGACGACCAAAATGGGCAAAGTCACAATCTTTATATTTAAGGCTATGTGGACATCATATTAAGGAAAATGAAACACTCTTAAATTGTCTACAGATGAAAATCTTTTTTTATTTTTTGTGCTTTTTACATATTAATTAGTCTCATACAAATTTTCATCGACCATTTTACCTCCTTATGGGATTGAATTTCGAAAACTGCTTAAACATGTATTTATTTAATTGTATTGAAGAGCATTAATACCAAGTTTCATGTAATTTTGATAATAAATAATTCTTGGCCCATATAAACTTTATTTCCCCTATTTTACCCACTTAGGGGATGAATTTCTAAAAATTCTTCGGATACCCACATCATATAACGGATACGTCCTCCAATTTTTACGTTTCTACGACCAGCGGTTTAGGCTGTGTGTTGATCCATCAGTCAGTTAGGACCACCACAGTAGGCACCTCACTTTCTCAATTCTTCTTTCAGCTGGTATACCTAGCAGGTACAATACATTGCACAGGTAATATGCGTGCACAATAGAAGCAAAAAACCAGGTACAAAACAGATATCAAAATAAATTGCTTAATCTCAGACTGAATGTAAATAGATCATACTTATAGCGCCCTCCTTACAAGAAATGTTCCCATTGGCTTCATAACATAAAGAGAAATACAATGAAGCTATTATAGTTAGACGATAGATGATAAAGGTTTTAAAATAAAACAATTGTGAATAAATAAATGTTTATTAAATCTTTATTCCATAACATAATATACCCAGCTATGATTTGACGATCCTAAAAGCCAAAATCAAAGAATTGAATCTTTTTTTATTAACATTTTGATAATAAATAATTATATGGTTAATATTGTTTAATCCGTGACGCTTATAGCTACAGGTGGTATGAATCTCCATACATGACTAACTTCTCCTGCACAGGATTGAACTTGTTGACTTGTATCTTTAATGACTGGTATTTCATCTAATATTGGTTCCGTGGTTGAACACTGAATGTCGATTTTATATTCACCAGGTGTCAAAAAGACAACGGTACACTCATGATACGCTTTGGCCGATTCCAGTAACGTTGATAGTACAATCCTACAAGAGAAAATCACATTCAATATTATTCAATATTATACACATTTGCGAGATTAATTTAATTCACTGTATACAGATAAATAAAATTGAAGTATCTGTTTGTAAAGTCTAAATAACAGCTTTTTACTAAATGCATATGAAATTATATGCTGTACTTATAAGAAAACACAATTTTTAAAATTTCTGTTTGTTTGTTCCGGCTAATCTCCGAAACGGTTGGGCCGATTTTGATGGGACTTTCATTGGCAGATAGCTGATGTTATACGGAGTAACTTAGGCTACTTATATTTTAGACAAAGAATTAGGCATTGTCTCAAAAAAATTAAAAATAGCGAAGCGAGGGTAAGTCGCTAGAGTTTAATATAAAGCATTTCTCGATATATAACTATTGTCTTAATAAACTAAAATAAAACAACAAAACTGTTAAAATTTAAAAAAAAGTCCAAAAAAATATTTTTTACATACTTATTATTTCCGGCAGTAGCCACTCTATTATCGAGTTTATAATTGAGAACGCCATTGTTATAGTCTTGGTAGAATTGCACAGACAGGCAAAGCTTGTGTAAAGGCCTCGTGAGGTGGTTCCAAACTGCCACCCCCAGTGAGAGGCATTCACCGGCTATACAATTGTATTCCTCTTGAGGTTTTATACATTGTTTATTCACACTCACCTCTAAAATATAATAGAAAAAATATTAGTTTTTTTTAAATTATAAATGTAGAAAAAAAAACAGCCAGGTCTGAACTATTTATAGTTACTTGTTACTGTATCTATGCCTTTTTACTGAACTGATTTAGATGAAATGGTCGATTTATTAAATTTAAAAAAAACTGTAAAAGTAGTAAATAATTTCACATCTTAAAAGTTTGAATATTCTTAAAAAAAAATGTTTTAGATTTACGTGAATTGGCCATTTTAAATAAATCTATATTTTCGATTTTTTTCGCGGATTTATTTTGATTTTTGGTTCCCGACGTTTCGAGTGCTTTGTAATCATGGCCACGGGCGAGACTAAGGCTTTAATTTAAAAGGTTGAAACCTAAAAAACTTACCCCAATTGAGAGGCGACATCCTTACAATATCCATCATAGTTTGTGAGAGTGTAATGCCTTTGACTGATGCTTTACCAGTAATATTAGACTGCATTAGATGCCATTTCAAATCAACATTCTTAGTTAGATGTTCTGAACACATTAGTTCAAGACTGTTTGTTGAATTCCCAGTGCTTATTGACTTTGGCTCGGGTGTTTCTGTTAAAAGTAAATTGTCATTTTAAGAAAAAATGTTAAGAACAAGAAAAATATATAATATAACATTAAAAAAACCATTAGAAAAAATCAATAAAACCATTAGAAATAGGGAAAATTTGACTTCTGAGATTTGACAAAATACATAGTTACATTACTTAGCTATAATTTAAGTGTAGATATATACATTATTACATATTATATATATATATATATATATATATATATTATATGTGTGTGTGTGTGTGTGTGTGTGTGTAAATGAAGTTAATAAAAGTGGTTTAAAAAATTATACATGTAGTATCTACTTTTATCATAATAATTATAATATCTTCCTGATCGATTTCGTCCAAGACGGCCAATCTCACCGAGACTAGCCATCTGCAGGAAGTATTATAGTGTACAAGTATGTGCACTATAATGAGACACAAGTTATTATATACTTTTCTCTGAACTTTTCCTAATCCGGGACTAGAACTCAGGACCTCCGGCTCTGTAGCCTTACATGCTAGCCACTACACCAGCGAGGTATCAACACTATAAAGCAATACGTACCTTCATCAGTTTTATTGGTGGCAGCAGTAAAAGGACACCTGTCCAAAGGCACGGGCACTCTGCAGGACTCTTTCCCTTCGATCAATATATGTTTGGTCGGAGTGTAATGGAAGTCCATTTCTTCGTTGGTAAGATTCGTTATATCTAGTACCAGATATAGTTGACTTGGACTAAAACAATACAATTTGGTACTTAGAGTTGTATGTAAGTAATCAGTCAAATTTCTTCGTCCAAAGGGGATTTGACTACACGTTTGGCTCAGTTGGTAGTGACCCTACTTAATGTGCCAGCGGTCGCGGGTTCGAGTCCCGCTGGGGGCATTCATTTGTATGATGAGCACGAATGTTTGTACTCCAGTCATGGGTGTTTATATTTATAATATGTATGCATTTAAAGTTATATATGTGTAGTGTATCAACTATGTCGTATCCATAACACAAGCCTCGTAGCTTACCATGGAACTAGATGGCGCTGTGTGTTAATGTCCCAACATTAATATCGATGAACAATGGACTCTTTAAATATGTCGTTACCACAGAGATAGCACAGAGATAATTATTTTTTTGTTTTAATATAATAAAATCCGTTAGCTATTTATTGTTTATTAACATTAACATTTATTTACCTATCACTCGGTTTACAAAAAGTTATTTGTGTCCATACTAATGTAATGTACTAAATAAATATGTGAATAATCTTTGTCTGTCTGCCTGTTACCTTTTCACTTAAACCGCTGAACCGATTTAGATGAAATTTGGCATGGAGATAGTTTGGGACCCTGGAAAGGACATAAGATAGTTTTTATCCCGGAAATCATCCCTCAAGAAGGTGAAAAATGGTATGGAAGTTTGTATGAGCAATCAATCATTTCTCAAGTAAGGGATATATAACTCATCATACCTATGTGTATAAATATGTTGGGACATTACCACGGCATCGTTTAGTTTCATGGTAAGCTACGAAGCTTGTGTTATGAATACTAGATAGTTGATACACTACACATATACAACTTTAAATAAAAACATCCATATTATAAATATAAACACCCATAAACTGGAGTACAAACATTCGTGCTCATCACACAAATGAATGCCCCCAGCGGGACTCGAACCCGCGACCGCTGGCACAGCAAGTAAGTCACTACTAACTGAGCCAAACGTGTCTTCAATATATAGACTATCTATTCCATACTAAGCATCAAAACCCGAGCGAAGCGTGGGTGAGTCGCTAGTACTATTTTAAAACATTATTTTAGCTTCATGTTTAATTCTATGACACTCTTGTCTATATTATTGCTTAGTCTGAGGACACACAATATAGCTAAAAAAATATTATTCCTTACATTTCCGCCGGCAACACGTCCCAGTGCGTGATCGATACGCTCGGCAATAGCTCAAGATTCATTTGCAGAGTCGACTGACGGCAGTGAATTTCTTTTCCTATTCCACCTGAATATCGTATTAATATCTGTAAAACAATAAGGGACTTTTAAGGTATTTTTTTTGTAACATATATATTTATATTAAGGCAGTGGTAGCCCAGTAGTAACGCGCTGGTTTGCAAAACTGAGTGAAGTGGGTTCAAATCCCGGGTCTCGCACCTCTGATATTTTCATGCGCGAATCATTTCCAACATGATTATCACTTGTCTTATGGTGAAGGAAAACATCGTGAGGAAACCTACACGTCTAAAAGAACCTAGCAAGTTTTTGAAAGACATATGTAGTCCGCCAACTCGCAGTTGGCCAGCGTGGTGGACTAAGGCTTGATCCCCCTTGTATGGAAGGAAGACCCGTGCCCAGCAGTGGGACTTTAAAAAAGAAGCGTTGAATACACACACACACTGTAACAATATAAATGAGAAAGTTTATATAAATGAAAAGTTTTTCTCATTTCATCATTTATAAATTCGGTATATTTATGTAAGCCCTGTTATGTAAGTTTATTGTAGAACATATACATATATTGTTTACACTTATATATTATGTTATATAATTATTTATGTAAACTTGTGTGTAATTTATAGTATGTACCGTCTAAGTAAATTATAGACTGTTTTTTATTTTTCTGCACCAACCATTATCCATGCTACCTTACGAGTTTCTTTATAATATAAGTTGTCTAGAAGAGATCGCTTTAAGTGATAAGGCTGCTTGAACACTAAAATTATATTTGTATATTTATATATTCTTTTAAATTGTATTTGTGTTTTGGTGTAATAAAGGATTAATAAAAACAAAAAAAAATATCTAAAATATTTATATAGTATTTATTTACCTGAGTTTCAATTTGACGCCCTCTTGACGGCGGCATTATGGATATAGGCGCAGACCAGCTGGTGGCTTGGGAATTAGATGACCTGCGAATATTTTTTTTATTAAATTTACATAATTTGATTACATTGTAAATACTACTTCGTTTCATATAATACACATAGAACTCTTTAAGTGTTTTATGGTTTAGACTTTAGGCAGTGGTAGGCAGCCTAGTGGTAACGTGCTTGCTTGGAATACTAAGTGACGCGGGTTCAATTTTATTTTAGAAAAAGAATTAGGGTTACGCGCAGAAAAGTAAAACCCATGAAATTGTGAAGAATTGCCGCTAGTCTATACTAATATTGTAAAGAGGTAAAGTTTGTGAGTTTGTGACGTTGTAGGGTGATCTCTGAATCTACTGAACCGACTTAGATGAAATTTGGTAAGAAAATAGTTTGAGACCCTGAGAAGGATATAGCATACTTTTTATCCTAGAAACCGTCCCTTAAGGGGGTGAAAATGGGGATGAAAGTTAGTATGGGGCATATTAAATAAACAGAAATTACCTGAAACTCCCCGACGTACGAATAAGACCGCTGCTTAAAGAATTGTGGGGATTCGAACTATGAGTGGGCAAAGACGTCTGTGCATTTGGTACGGGAGAGCCCACGCGGGACGGGTAGTTGGATGTGAGGCTGTTGGGAAACAGGTTCTCCCCCACACCGCCTAGATCTAAGAAATCTGCTTCTCCATACAATTTCATCACAATGGTTGCGACTTCATTGGGGTTTATCGGTAATTGGGACTGTATGTCCTCGTTGGACCATTGGAAAACCTTCGTTTGTAGCTGACTGTCCATGTTTGACTGAAAAAATATATGTTAATTTTTATGTTATTGTCAAAAATATTTTCTTAGATTTATGCGAATATTTGACATTTTAATTATGTTTTCAAATTCTTTCGCATATTTATTTAAATTTTTGGTTCCCGACGTTTCGAATGTTTCACAGTCTCAGACCATGATAGTACACAAAAGGATGGTTTTATTTATTGTCAAAAAACAATAAAATGTATTGAAATAAATATCAAAATTATAGTATAATTGACGGGAAAAACGTCATGATGTGGTGAATAAGATTATTGTATACTAAAAAACTACACCAACTTAGAAATTGCATTAATAATAATATTAATCAACTATAGGACCGAATTTTTCATTAAAATGTACATATGTGTATCTTTTAAACACTAAATTGTTATTTAAAAAATATTATTTAAATATATCCACAGAACCCCGTAAGATATACATTTATAAAACACAAAAAACACACGCGAATGTAAATGTCTATTTTTAAATCAGTCGAAAATATTACAATATGAGATTAAAAACTAAGTTTATCGATTTTCAATATAATTATGCAAAAATTAAAAAAAAAAAACACTCACCTGAATAGACAAATCAAGATATTCTATCGGCACGTTGCTTGTGTTAGTTATTTTTATGGTGCATTCTGTGCTTTCACCGTTGTATAGCGAAATGTTTGTGATGTTTCCAGAAAATTCCGGATTCGACAGATTGACGTGGCCAGATAGGGATAAAGTGGTTTCAATTGTGATGGTCGGCAAGCTGGGTATCACTTCAATAGTGTATGAAGCTGGAAACTTGTTAGGACTTGGCATATTCTTTAGTCTGCAATTCGACTTAACCCCCAATGTATGGGTGGAATACCCCAAAATTTGTAATTCCCCAACTTCCTTTGGTGTTCCGTGCAAGTTCACTGTGGTGGGTGAATCCGGGGGCAGTATTATAGTTTCTGGTATAGATTCGAAGACTACGCCTGATGTTAGCAGTCTCATGTTTGACACTTTTAGCTCAAACGGCAAAGGATTTGTTAGTTTCATTTGAACTTCGCATATATCATCTTCTACCCAGAGGTATTCTGTAGATAATTTAGTTTAAATTGTGTAAAAGTAACATTGAAATACAAGAGTATATTGAGTATAAGCTAATAGGTATAAATAAAACCATACTATTTAATACTAGTATTGTAAATGTGCAAGTAGCACTGTCTGTGTGTTTTTTACATTTTCACTCATACTGCAGGACTATATAACATTATGGGAAGGGTCATATTCTACATCCATTCCACTTACCATGCAAGGGGAAATGCCAACAAAAACTGCTAAATAAAAGAGCCTACACGATGTATGTTGATTGTCACAATAAAGATTGCGGAAATGAAATTGACAACGTAAATGTTTAAATAAATAAGTTGGTTTGTTGAATTCCTTTTCAAAATATATTAATAAGGTCCAAACTTCGTCGATAAACTTACCCATTTTGCCTTCATCCCTCTTACTCTTTCTTTCGAGACTGCCAAAATGTATGGGAGTGAAGATGAAGGGTCCTTGATTGGACTTGGACTTGATGAGATGAGGGGTCCTTGGCGGAGGAAGGGGTCGTGGGGTGAAGAAGGAACAACTTGGTACATGTGTGAGGTTAGCTGGTGGTATCACTTCCCCTGTCTCTAGCACAAGTGGTACTGGACCACCTTCGCATTGGGCAGAGAGAGCCTGGAAAAGAAAATCAATTTTATAATAATTATAGACTAGCGACTCAGTCTCGCTTAGCTCGGGTTCATTCCTAGGTACGTTTTAACTGTTAGTATGGAATAGATAGACTATATATAATATATTAGTACATACATAAGTATGACGAGTTTTATATCCCTTACTTGAGAAATGATTCATTCCCCATATAAACTTTCATTCACCTTTTGGAATGATTTTCGGGATAAAACGTCCTATTCTGTCTTTCCCAGGGTCTTAAAAATCTTCATACCAAATGTATGAAATCTAAATAGGATCAGCGGATTTAAAGTTACAAAGTTAAACTCCCAAACTTACAAAGTTTACCTTTTGGCTCTTTGTAATTTAATCTTTGTAATAAATAACTCGTAAGTGTAGAAGAATAACTTGTATTGGTTTTTTCGAAAAATATTTTGAAGTGACTCTTTAATTAACCACTATAGTTAGAGGATGGTTTTTTTAAATTGGTATTGTTTTTTTAAATGTCTGTATAAAATTATTATTTTTTATTTTTTTTATTTAGAGAAATATTCCATAATTTTTTCAATTTGTCTTCATCATATAATATTTATCATAAATAATTGTCATTTATTTCATATTTACAAAATACATATTTTTAAAATATTTTTTTTTAAATACTATAACTACTAGTGACGCAACGTCGCTTCGTTCGGAGTCGTCCGTAGGTAAGAGAACTTATGTAGCTCTCTAGTCCTTCAATATAAATATAAATTTTCACATCCTTAACTCGAGAGAAGATGGGTTCTTCATACAAAGTATTCTCCCCTATTTCATTCGCTATAAGTTTTATTTTTTTATCAAAACGTAGCCATAGATCTTTCGTTGAGATCTAGTTTATTTCCATACTAAAATTAATCAAAATAAGTTCAGCGGGTTAGTGTGAAAACGTAACAAACAAAGAGACAGAATTACTATCGCATTTATGTAGGATCCGAGAATGCAAATAAAAACACTCGACTAGACACCGACTATTTATGAAATAAAAATGTACAAATAACATATTTTTCTTTGATTCATCTTTCATTCCATTCCATTCTTAAAATCATACATCTCATTTTACTCTTAAAATATCATTTCAGGCATACTCACACAGACCCCACATTTATAGCATTAGTTTGGACATGTCGCACCTGCAGTTGTATAGCCATGTCGCGATGCTCCTGCCGCGAGAGGTGCGGCCACATGGCCTGCAGCAGGAAGGTCATGTGTCGCGTGGCGAGCGCCGGGTGGCCCATGCGCCGCGCCGCCACCACCAGCTCCTGCAGCAGCTGGATCTGCAGGGCTGGCCAACCTGCACGGCGCGTGTGTTGATATGATATGACGGGAATTGATGTAGTGAGTAATCGCTGGTCGAAAACGTTAACATTTGAATATGGAAATTGGAAACACTATGCCAATATCAACTTAATAACTAAAAAAGAATGATTTAAGGAGAAAATATTTGGAGATTCAATATGTCGATATCGACTGATTAATATTATAAGAAATACATTTATTACTATTACGACTATGACTGGTCCAATTTACCCATTATCATGGACCAATGTCAATTTTGTGAAGCAAACTGCCAAGGTATTAGAAAATTTATCAAACTAAAGAGTTGCTCATATACTTCGAAGGACAAGAAACAGTAACAAGAGAAAATAATTTTTGGTTTAAATTAATATTTGATTTTTCAACTGGAATAGAAAATTTTCGATTTTTTTTTTATAATTTACCAATCGATAAAACTTTTTCATCAAACCATACAACTTATTCAGTTACCCAAATTTTTTTTTCTTACCAACTTGATGCTGTATCACATAGCTGGGGTCGAGGCTAAGCTTGTGTCCGGGGAAGCTGTGCAGCATGAGGTAGTAGCACCTCTGCCAGTCTGGGTTGGGGTTATTCGCGCTGACCTGCCGCGTGGCCGCCAGGCGCTGGCAGAAGGCTGCCTTGCGAAGGAACCCTTGGTGTGTGGAGAATGTTTGGTGGTTATTATAGAAGACACACACACGCACACACAATTACCATTTTTTAATAGTAACCGATTCTGAGCACGCTTGCTTCAAAAACTCAGTGATGTGGGTTGAAATTCCAGGTCTCGCACTCCTAAGATTTTTATGTACGAATTTAACTTTTAGTACGATTACTACATCTTGTTAATACAGTAAAGGGAAATATGTGAGTAAACCGTTTTTGTTTAATGTATCTAAGTAATTTTTGAAAGACAATTTATACTCTCGAAAAATGGGTGGTATAATATCTCGTATTATAAGGAAGTCCATGAAAAGGAAGCAGTGCTATAAGAATATTTTTTCAATGGACCATGTTAAGTTCCATAAATTAATATGTGGTATTTCATTACTAGCACGGTTTTGGAAATCTTAAGGTAAAGTTATGAGCTGCCTGGAATAAAAACAATAGTGAGTAAAACTGACAATACTCACCTATTTCCTTATATAATTCTGCCAGAGTATCAAATCTCTGAATCTTCTCTTGCTCGCTGAGCGTCAAATTGATAAATATAACATTTTGTAGAAAACTCGACGCGTGCAAGCTGTTGTTTTGTTCTACCGCTATCCGGGCCGCCTTGAAACATGCCTCCGTTTCTATTATACCAGCATTCTGATACTTGCTATAGTGTATTATAGCTTTTCGATACTTGTCAGCTATTTCCTCTCCACCCAATAGATATTGATTGTTTATTTGGGATGGCGGTTGCCTTGGAATGGAGGGAAGATCGGGACTTAGATAGGATTTTTGACTTTGGTAATCTATATCACTGGATGATGCTAGCGATTCAGAATCTGCGTTATCTGTTTCAGATTGACGGGAGGAAGTTTCCACACTATCAGAGGAAGATGGGGTTAGTTCACTGGGAGGGTTAACTGGACTAGACGTTTTGGAAGATCTCAATGGGGATGAGTGTTGTTTGAATTTTCTGAATGGGTCTGTATTTGGTTGGTATAGGGATAAAAGTTTGGCTTTGTTTGGTGAACTCTCTTGGAGACTAGCGTTACGTTGTAAGGGGGTAGAGCTTCGTAGAGAGGGGTACTGAAGTATCGCGGATGTTGCACAGTGACCTAATAATAAAATTGGTATATCAATTTCAATAAATATATTTTTGTTATATGTTAAAATTGCTCACTAAGTCAAGAGAAAGAGAGACGAGAGATATTTCGCGAATGAAGTGTGTGAAGAATGAAGCAGGTAAGGTACTCTCAGATAATGCTAAAATTAAAGATAGATGGAAGGACTATTTTGAAAGGCTTATGAATGAGGAGAACGAATGGAGTGGAAGGCTTGACAAAAAGGCTGAAAATATAGGATTAGTCAGAGCGATTAGTATGGATGAAGTGAAAGGAGTAATAAGTGGAATGAAGAACGAAAAGGCGGTGGGGCCGGATGAAATACCAATAGAAGCATGGAAGTTATTGCGAGAGGATGGATGGAAGTGGCTAGCCTTATTCTTCAATAAGTTGTTGCAAGATGAAGTCATACCGGACGAATGGTGCAACAGTTCATTGGTGCCCATTTTTAAAAATAAAGGTGATGTGCTGGAGTGCAACAACTATAGAGGAATAAAGCTAATTTCACATAGTATGAAAGCTTGGGAAAAAGTGATTGAGCGAAGACTAAGAGAAGAGAGTGAAATTTCACAAAACCAGTTCGGATTTATGCCCAGTCGGGGAACAACTGATGCCATTTTTGCAATCCGCCAGCTATGCGAAAAGTACAGAAGTGCACACAAGAATTTGCACATGGTCTTTATTGATCTGGAGAAGGCATATGACCGGGTACCCCGTGAGGTTTTGTGGTGGGCCCTTAGAGAGAAATGTGTGCCTGAAAAGTACGTGAAGTTGATCCGAGCGATGTACAATCGATGCAGTACACAAGTCCGGTCCACAGCTGGCACCACTACTAGCTTCAATGTGGCTGTAGGTTTACACCAGGGGTCTGCCCTTAGCCCGTACCTCTTCTTGATGGTATTGGACGCCTTAACATCAGACATACAAGAAGAAAGCATGCTGTTCGCCGACGACATTGTGCTAGCGTCCGAGAATAGTCTAGATGTTCAGAACAGATTGGAAGAATGGCGACAAAGACTGGAGAGTGTTGGCTTGAGAGTCAGCAGAAGTAAAACAGAATACCTTTTCTGCGACTTTGGTGGTCTCTCCAGTCTAGTGCCCATAACCCTTTCGGGAACACCCTTACCAATATGCACTGACTTTCGGTATCTTGGATCTCTTGTACAAGGTGATGGTAATATTGACCGAGACATTACGCGTCGGATCAACTCTGGGTGGATGAAATGGCGACAGGTCACAGCGATAACTTGCGATAAGCGGATGCCCCTTAAGTTGAAGGGTAAGATCTATAAATCCGTAATAAGACCTGTCGTTATGTATGGATCGCAATGCTGGGCTACAAAGAAGACTGATGAAAGAAGATTGCATGCTGCTGAGATGAGAATGTTAAGGTGGATGTGTGGAGTGACGAGGATGGATAAAATAAGGAATGAGTACATAAGAGGAAGCTTACAAGTAGCACCAGTGACAGAGAAGTTGAAAGGGAATCGTCTTAGTTGGTATGGGCATGTGAAGCGGAGGGATGAAACGCATGTGACGAGAAGAGTGATGGAAATGAATGTAGATGGATGGAAAGGTAGAGGAAGACCGAAGAAAAGATGGATAGATTGTGTGAGACAAGACATGAAAGAGAAAGGGGTGAATGATGAGATGACGAGTAATAGGGGAGAATGGAAGAGGATGACTTACTGCGCCGACCCCAAATGACTTGGGAAATGGGCAGGAAGAAGAAGAAGAAGAAGTTAAAATTATGAAGCATTAACTAAATCTAGCTTTTATTTTTGTCTAAAACGAGATCAATATCCTTTCAAACTAACCACTAATACTATTGTATTTTTTTATATTTTATTATTCATCAATATTTAATATTATTAATAAAATTCTTTATTAAAATTTTAAATAAAAAAAAGTATAAAATTAAAATAACTGCAATTACCTTCTTTGGCTGCGGCAAGCCATAGCCAATCATTAACAGATTTAAGTATTTCTGCCGAGGAATGATATAAATTTAACGCTTCAGGAATAAGACCTGCTTGTAGTGTCAAATCTGCCAGGTTTTTAGTAACACGACCCATACAACGTTTTTTATTGTTACGAGATTCCATATCGAGACCTAGAATAGAATATTATTGCTATATAGTCTATACAGATAAATAAAATTGAAGTGTCTGGACTGATTTGGACGAGACTTTTACTGGTAGATAGTTGTTGTTATAAGGAGTAACTTAGGCTACTTTTATTTTATAAAAAGAATTAGGGAAATTTTTCTGGATTTTTATTTCAGCAAAACGACGGTAAGTTGCTAGTAATAAATAAATGTGACATAATACAAGTGCATTCTAAGCTTACTCTAAAACGTTTGTAATAATTTCAATGATATTTTCACAGTTAGGTAATAAAATTTGCAATTTTCTATCCTACTGGATATGAAACAATGCACAGAATATATTATACATAGTACATATTTAATGGGCTTACGCAAACCAGGTCGACCCATTCATTTAAACTGAAAATGGAAATATATTTTTTTTTTATTAAAAAGATGTACTTTCATTTTTTTTACTACATATTTCTACAACATTAAGCTTACCTACAAAGTCTCTTTTTTCAAATGGCGCCAAAAGTAAAGATACTTTCTCCAACTTTTCTCTAGACCTTTCTAATCTTTTAGATTCAACTACCCAAAATAATGAATTAATAAGATCAGCCACATGTTGCTCAAGATCTGGCACTGGATCATTTTCCCCATAAAATAAACCATGGGTTTTGAAATTAGATGGTGTAGTGAAATTTTCCTCTTGGACTGGATAAGAGGCATTGGATGAAGAAGATCTAGGAAAACTTTCACATGACGACAGACTGTCTGTTTGTTCACTTGGTAGAGATATCCTGATAAAAATATATTTTATTAAGTGAAATTCTAATTAAAATTATAAAAAATATAATATTGTGAGTAAAAAGGGGTTTTTTTCCATTGTTTTACAATGTTTCTGCCTTAAATATATATAAGAGTTATCATGGCATAGATATAATTATGTATGTTATGCTTTAATTTTTGGTCTATAGAATTAAATTTATTTTCATCTCTTAATTGTGTTATTACTATAACTAAATTTTGATATAAATTACAATTTTTGAAGCATACTTGTCACTTAAACTGGTTTTTTCTTTTGGCTTATTTTCTTCATAGACACTGTAAGTTTCAGGTTCTTGCTCAGGCTTCTTTAAGTTACTGCCAGGTCCAAACATGAAAGCTCGAGAATCATATAATGTATTTGAATACTTGACTTTCAAAGACTCATGTACTCTACAGACTTCATTCAGTTCTATTTGATTAGCAAATTTGCTAAGACTTATTAGACCTAGAAGTCTCCTAAAATAAAATGAACATTGTAACTTTGGGCAAACAAGTTTATAACATAAAGTTCAATATATTAAATATTTATTAATTACCTGTGAGTTTGAAAGTCACCCCAATCATTATTTTCTACTGGATAATCTCTAACATATCTCACCCAAATGTCCCTTACTTGACCTGTAGAATCTGAGAAGGTATAAATATTGCAAATTTTTTTGTCTTAGCCAATTTCTTAACTGCCACTTAAACTTAATAATAATTTAACTAAGAGTGCACAAAGATGTTGGTTTTCTCTCACTGGTCATGTTGAATTGAAGCCCCAGACAGATCAGGATGGTTCCACAAACAGTAACTGCACTTATGTTTGATCAAATACTAATATTATAAATGTGAAAGTTTGTGAGAAATGTTTGTGAAAAATGTGTGGTTCCCGTGCGATAGATTTGTTTTTGTCTGGGGACAAATCCGAAGTGAAGGGAGGGCGAGTCACTAGTGATCAAATATGCCTGCATTATAATTATTCCCGCTCAGACTTCACACTGCTTAGTTTTTGTTAGATTAGACATCAGGACATTAATTTTCTGATGTCTAATTGGAACAGTTTGCTCTATTATACTCTGAAGCTAAAGTACTTTATCGTTTAAACATTTTAATTAATCACATTCTTTTTAAACATTAGCATTTTAACACATTTGAAATTATAATTAGAATACATATATGTCGAAAGAAGGCAACACACATACCAGTAACTTTGATATTGTTGACACGCTGTATCCGTTCCCAGAGTTTGTTGAAGTTTTTTAATACGCCCCCAATCCCCTTTACGAGCACCAACAAGCAAGCGTGATGCTGGGCGTGTTGCGCGTAGTCTGGGTGCGACATCACAGACTCTCCGGGCGCGTGAGATAGTATATAGCTCACTGATGAGCGCATTGATATCTTATTTAAAGATATTTAGTTTATGTTACCACTTAATACAACACTGGCCATTTGATGTAATTAAAGGTGAAAATATTTCAATAAAATGTATATAATATTTATCATTTAATCTTCAGGTGAATGTAAGCACACCACCTAGTTAAATTAGATTTTGAAATAAGGATACACAAATGTGAAATGAAAACTCCATTTGATTTGTTGTGAATTATGACGTTTATAATATAGCAGCTGACATTGACAAATGTCATTACTCGGATATCTATACGAAAGTAGAAAATATAATTTAAATTGTTATTTTTTCAAATCTTTTTCTAAGTATCATTAGTACGAGTCAATAAATACTAATAAATCTTTTAAATTCAGTTTTTTTAATGATTGAAAATTCTTTCTATAACGCTTTATGATTATCATCATATAAATGTAATAAAAATTATCACGTAGAATGGAGAAATATCATCATAATGTCAAATAATTAAACGTCGCTTTGATTATTTACAAATATGAAATAACCGTAGTAGCATCTCTATATGTATAGTTTATGAAATAACCTAAAATTTCTTCTTGCGCTTGTTGGGTACTGTCGGATTTGTTAATAAGTATAATTTTACCAAATACTAATTATTATCTTTATTTCTTCACAAAATGGCTTCAAAAGAAGGCGATAAAAATAAGGTTTGTAAATAAAACAATTGTTCATTTACTTACATCAAGTAAGTATATTGTGTTTACTATATTTACAATATTTTCTATTTATTTCAAGGCAGCACAAGGTGCCGGTGACAATAAAGAGAAGCGGAGAAAAGAGTCTATCTTAGATTTGAGTAAATATCTAGAGAAAAGTATTCGTGTTAAGTTTGCTGGGGGTCGTGAAGCAGCGGGTATATTGAAAGGATATGATCCTTTACTAAACTTGGTATTAGATAATACAACAGAATTTCTAAGAGGTTTGTAAGTTGCATATTAAATTTATATGATTCATAAATAAAGTAGAATTCTTATGCAGTTTGTTATAATCTGTTCGTTGTTCCTTTTATATAAAAAAAAATATTTTTTAGATCCGGATGACCCATATAAACTATTAGATGATACAAGAGCTTTAGGTCTTGTAGTTTGCCGTGGGACTTCTGTAGTTTTGATTTGTCCAATGGATGGCATGGAGGCAATTCCCAATCCATTTATTACTCAAGAAGGATAAAAGTAATTTTATTGTAAATATAAAAATATCATAAGTAAAGATTAAGATTTCTACTTTTTTGTTTTATTACTATAAAACCCTAATAGTTATCTAGTAGACTAATCATTACATTTTTTATTATTTAGATATTGTGAACAAAAATTCAAATTAAAAAAAATACCCTTTCAAATGTAGGATTTAAAAAAGAAATATAAACAGTATTTTTTGATTTTTATAAGTTCAAACCCAGTTACGTTTCAAAGTAAACACATCACAGTTAGCCCAGGTTATGATAATTAATGCTACTTACATATAAAGAAATAAATTAAGATATTAATAATTAGTATTAAGGAATACACTATATGCAGCAAAATTTACAAGCCTTACATTAATTGGTAACTATGACATTTGTCTGAGATTATGAGTGTTCAATTACTCAACTCCAAATTCATTTCTAATCCAAGGGTAGGTTTTTGGACACTCCATGCAGGTTATCATATACTTGTCGTGTTCTAATACTTTTGATTGTAACTTGCAGGTTTTTGGCTTGCCACAAGCAATATCAGATTCTTGAAAGTAGTCATAGCCACATTGCCAAGGATGGAATTTCTTTAACTGTACTACAGGTGTTGGGCGCTTTATCCAATTGAGAACTTGGCTATATGTCACAAAATAAACATCAGAAAGCTTCAGTACTTCATCGGTGAATTTCTGGAAGTTAATCATAAATATTCTTAATTTCTTTTTAAATTAACATTAAATATCTTTTCTGTTGTGATATAAGTACTTAAGTAAGTGCAGTTATTTTCATTTGGATAGTACAGAATAAATATAATAGGTGTAAAGTGAAAGTTCTGACAGTTACTTAAAAGTTCAATTATGACAATTTACACAGATTTTACTTGATTATATAATTTATCTTGGACCCTGTGATATTTAAATTTAATGACACAACATTTTGTTTAATTTGTAGCTTGTAAGAAAGTATCAATACATAGTAACTCATTACTCAATACCTTGAGTGCGGACAAGTAGTCATTGTTCTTCAACCAGGTTGAGTTGAGATGTATACCAAAAGGTGCTCTATTTTTCAAATAATGTCTTTTAAAATTGTTTAACAATATCTCGTAGACTGCATCTCCAGTAAGATTAGAGGGACAGAATTCTAAAGTGGCACAAGTATGCTTCCCATCAACAAGTGGGTTTATAACCATTTCCCATAAGCCTGCATAACTTCTTGTAGGGCATAGTTGATTATTTCCTGCATAATATTAAAAAAATATAAGGTAATGCAATATTTATAATACGGTTTTAATAATTATGTTTTCCATTTTATGTGTTGTTGTCAGTCATATAAATTGAAAGTTAAAACATTCTTTCTCCGAATACGATGTTTTTATTTGGTTAAAATTACGCAGAATAATTCGTTTTAATCAAAGTAAATCGTCATATTCTCTTACCTTTACATTGATGGGGCATTTTATAATCTAAGGTGTAAGGCCAAAAAGGCGGATCAGCTACGGGAGCTACTACTGTAGCGTCATATACGAAACCAAACTCATGCATCATAAGAAACTGTCTGTTCCAACCGACTGCCCAATGGGGAACACGCAAACCCCTGCAAAACATAAATCGATTATTGGTCCTTCTAGCCGGATTTATGTATGTAACGAAGAATATATTAAATATATTCAAGACTGTGGTCTTACACACCACACCACGTTATTTTTACCTGAAGTCTTCCATGTAAACCCTTCCAAATTTGTTGATAATATTTGCTTGTCCTACCATCTCATCAAACCAGTCTTCAATAGTAGCATTCTTTGCCCACCATTCTCCGGGACCACGATGCCTGTAAAACATTTTGATACTTCATTCAATCATTGTTTATAAGCATCAAGTTTTATAAATATAAAAAAGTACATCAATTTTTTCGGGATAAAAAGTAACCTATATGCTATTTGAGACTACAATCTATCTCTATGCCAAACTTCATCCGTTTCTCTGGCTTTGTTGAGTAACAAACATCCAGCCAACCTTTGGCATTTATAATGTATGTATAATAATAATAAAAAAATTATTGACAAAATAATGAAAATGATGTAAAATATGAGTCACAATGCATCTACCTATCAATTAATGCATTATATTAAGGTATCTCATAGTGCTTATAAGTATTTACCTATGAATAATCTAAATAACTTACGTTATCGAATGCACTCCAATTTCATGTTCATCGTTCCACAATTTCTGTACGTGCCGGTAATTAGTATACGGATGTGACACAAAGAATGTAGCTTTTATGGGGCAGCCATTTGGATTTGTACGGGATTCTGTGAATAGCTGTTTCGAGTAAATATCCCAGTTTTCGTGATTTATTGGACCGTCAAATGTTAGAGTTATCATCTGTGGAGTCTGAAATAAAGGCATTTTAGGGCTCTTAATAAAAATATTATCATGAAATACGATTTAACATGTCGGTATTATTGTTTTGACGTACCTGACTTTGTACAAGATTATTAGGTGTTTGTTTTCCATCTTGACTACAAAAACACTTAGGTAAATGGCACTCTTTGGGATCGCATGGTTCTGCTGAATTAGGATCGTAGCTCTCATCACACCAGCCCTGGTTAAAAATTTAAATATGTCAATATATATTTTTTGACCCTACACATTTGTTTCTTTTTAGGGTTCCGTACCTCAAGAGGTAAAAAAAGGAACCCTTAGAAGATCACTCTTTTGTCCATCTGTCTTTCCGTGTGTCACCACCCATTTTCTCAGGAACGGGTAGACCTAGCAAGTTGAAATATATACCAGATACAGCGGTCTATAGCCCCTATTAGGAGTATAAAAAATCGCCTCGGTGGTGTAGTGGCTAGCATGTACGGCTGCACACTCGGAGGTCCTGGGTTCGAGTTTCAGGTCGGGCCAAGTTTAGATAGAGTCTTTCTGTATAGTAAGTCTCAGTAACAGTCCGGAGTTGGGAAGTTGGCGGTGTTTCACCCCCGTGCCTCGGAGAGCACGTAAAGCCGTCGGTCCTGCGCCTTAACTCTCACTGGTCGTGTCGAGCAGTCGTCCCACCGGAGTATGAGAGTGACAGGAATAGAGAGCGCACTTGTGTCTGCGCGTACACTTGTGCACTATAATATCTCCTGTGCAGTTGGCTAGTCTCAATGAGATTGGCCACCGTAGCCGGAATCGGCTAGGAAAACATCATCATCATAAAAAATCAAGGTCCTGAGTCAACACGAAAAAAAGATATGGGCAAATTTAGATTTTCGCAAAAACTTGTAGATACCAAAATTTACCTTAGTTTTAAACTTTTTTTATTTTTCAGAATTTTCCCTTTACTTTTACTATAAGACCTTGCTTTTAACCAAAATTGACAATTCTAGGTCAACCGGAAGTACCCTATAGGTTTTGGGTCGAAAACCTATATGGTAGTTCCCGTTGACCTAAAATCACGAAATTTGGCAAAAAACAAGGTCTTACAGCCCAAATAAAGGAAAAATTCCAAAGAATAAAAAAAAGTTGAAAATTAAAGTCTGTTTGACTTCCTACAAATTTGTACGGAACTCTCGGTGGGCGAGTCCGACTCGCACTTGTCCGTAATTTTTAATTAAATCTTCTGCGCGTGATTGTATAAGTTAGTTATACGATTAAATTCGATTATAAAATTGGATGAACGAAGAGTTAATCTGAATTACTATACAATAAATCTGCCTACTAGTATAAACGTCGTATCTCGGTAGCTACACATTTAAAAAAATAGAAGATTTTTATTACATAAGATACCAGAATTATTTTCATTGTAAAATTTTCCGACTTATTGTCAGAGTTCGTAATATACCGTTGCGCTTTCAATTACTATAACTATACAGTTAAATTGCTCAGAAGTATGAAAATTCCGCAAATAGTGAAAGTAATAAGTGCAATGAAGAAATTCACCAATTTACTTTGTAATTTTGGTTTTAATTGAGAACCTATGAGCAAATTATTTTCAATTTTACTAATAAGTAAGAATTGGTAAAATAATATATGTTTTTAAGAAGTTATGTAACTTTAAAATTACATATAAGTGTTCTTTTAATTGAAACCCTTCATACGAATAAAATATAATAAATAAAAGAAAATTAATTACGATAATTGGCATACCTATACTAAACACAAAATATGGTCACTCGTGAGTCGTGATATTTTATAGTTTAGAAATTATTGCGCGTAAGTCAATGAACACGTTAAAATTTAGTTCCTTTTCCTGTGATAGTAAATTACAGTGTAATTATATAGTACAACGCGTCCTATTTACATATCATGATCGCGTGATTTCAGTTAATTTAAAAGTATGTAGGTTAGTATGATGATGCAAGTCAGTAGAATCCCGGAAAAAGAGTAAGTTATCTTCACAGCTCATCTATACGGTTGTAGTATTTTAAATAGGTTTAAATACACCACCTACATGCTTAAATAAATATAATTTTTCAGTAAACTTACAACATTGTTTCTTGAACTATACCTATATTTAATCTTACTAATATTATAAATGTGAAAGTTTAGATGTTTGGTTGTTTGTTACTCAATCACGCAAAAACGGCTGAACGGATCTGATTAAAATTTGGCACAGACATAGATTATAGTCTGGAATAGCACATGACTACTTTTTATCCTGAAAAAATGTATGGTTCCCGTGACATAGATTTGTTTATGTTTTTCTAAAGGCGAACCCAAGCTAAGCGATTGTGAGCCGCTAGTAGTAAGTTATAAATAGAAAAGGAAATATTTTTGCTTATGTTAAAATTGTTAAAAAAATGCTACTGACGGGTGATAAAAATTGAGTATGCATAAGTACCTATGTGGGATATTTTCAAATAGATTTTTTAATATGATAAAGATCTCTAAACTATCTTCTTTTCCATTTAAATAAATGGTAAATAATAATTAATATTAATAGTAGGTTCGTATTTTTGAAAAGAAACAGTTACATTACTTATAGCTTTTGTCGGCAACAACTAGTTACGTCGATTTAAAGTTTATTTAGGACACTAGTTATTACCATTTCGAATTTCACTCAAATCAGTTTAGACGCCACAGTGTGAAGAAGTATTTAAACACACAAGCTTTCACATTTTTTATTATTAGGCAGTGTCATTGTCATAAGGAGTTCCTTCCTATACTATAAATATTTGGAATAATCCACAAACCTCATCTGAATAATCGGGACAATCTACGGCTCCATCGCAGAAATATTCAGCGGGAATACATGTATCATCAGAACATCCTAAATGTGTTTCGTTCGCACAAGTCGCCACATCCAGAAGCGGTTGGGGTACTAATATTTCTGCAAAATGACAATAGATTAATTATCTTCCTGCTAAATCTGAAATATAATCTACTGATCTATTTTATAAAGGCGTCTCTAGATAGAGCAATTCTGCGGGTGAAGCACACGCGACTGCCATACATGCCTTATTTTATGAGAGTTGGGAAATGGCTTAAGGGTTGACGGATATAACTGTAGCAATTGCCCCTAGGTAGAAATACAGAGCTTTAACTACGATGCCGTTCGCCAAGAAAATTAGTATTTCAGGACTATCCTTACATTTGTTAGCATTTCCATTAAAAAACAATAATCAATCGCCTACTATATGGATTTTTATACAGTGTCCAAAGAATTAATAAAAAACATTTACAATTTACATACACGTTTCAAAACAATTCTAAACATTTTCTATAATGTTTTGGACAAGGTATTAAAAAGCTATTCGAGATAAGAATATAAACTAACCTGTCGTTAAATCGCAATTGTGAACATTTTGTGGCATGTCACAAATTTGTCGATTAACATCAAATAGCAATCCGCTGGAGCATTGAAACTCGAAGACATCGTTATCTAAGCAAAGATAGTAACGCGAGCACTCGTCGCTGGTCCACATTAGATCTGTACTCCGGTCAGGGTTTCTAAAAATAGTTTTGCTTTTAAGCATGTATTTTTTTAATTATTATTTCATCATGTACCTATTTCTTTAATTCTAATTTATTATTTCGTTCCATAATATGAAGAGGGACAATATAAATATGAGTCGACTTACAAAACAATTTATGTCGTTAGACCTATGCAAAATAAACATAAATTATTCTATGTACAAGACATTTAAGCTGAATTATAGATATTAGTAACAAAAGCCTTTCATAATACGCTGTTGGGTAAAACGATTAGCTAACAAATAGAATGTAAGGCTAGAATCGCATCCACATACTTATTTAGGTCGCACCGATTACAGCTTCTTAGACAAGTATTAGACTAATCTCATACAAATTACGAGCTACTTATTGTAGACAAACTGACACTTACATACTGGCTTACCTAAAATTTGAGTTCAGAAGAAAACTTAAGTTATTGCAAAAAAAAATTTAAATTGGAATTTAGACTTTTTAATGGTCTCTCCCGTGATCATGTTTGGTATAAAGCATTTGAAACGTCAGAAACCAATATATAAAATAAAACCGCAACAAATTCCGAATAAAAGATGCTTTTAATAGTTTCATTTTAAAGATTTAAAAAAAAAATTAGAGTAAATGTAGAGGTTCAATTTAGAAAAAAAATAAAGTTATTACCTATCTCATGAGGTAGCTATTACTTAGGTATATAGCTCCTTATTTCCGTATTAAACTTACAAGAAAAAAAAGCTGAAATTTGACGGATAATGGTAGGTGCTCCCATAGTGACATTCTTTCAGATATTCACTAATCCATATTTTTTCAAAATTCTGACTAAGATATGACATATATGGGCTAATAAAATTCAAATTATTTGCAATATTTAAATCAAAATATTTTCCGATACCATAATATTAAGAAATGCTGTCGAACGAAGCTGGGGCAGGCCGATACTCAAATATATTTCGGCGCAACGAGTAGATACAATAACAGCGAAAGTGAATTTCTCGAGACGCGTCAGGAAATGATAATGTGATACGGTAGCTAAAGCTAGCTGTCAAGGTTGGCGAAAGTGCCTGGGTCAATGTCCTGGTGTGACGAGTGGGAAATTATAAAGGCCTCGTTGTAGTGTCGTGCGTTAATCGCTTGCATGAGTAAATTACGTTTACGGAACTTTTCATTAGTGTTTGTTTTTATGATAGTTCGTGCATTAGCTTACCGTGTTACGTCTGTTATTGTTGGCGTGTAATAATTATATAGGTATATAAAATGTTTCTAATATAATATACCTACGATTCGACATAAGAAAATATAATATTGCTATTTTAAGTTATTCTATTCTATTCGATTAGTTTAAGTAGTTAAATTATTGTTAGTGGTTCCAATTTTTATTATATTTTCATGTAGTTTCAAGTTAACTATTATAGTTATTAAAAAATTTAATAACGCTAAGTTTTTATTGATTATAGTATTTTTATATAATTACATATTTCTATTTTTTAGGTAAATAATATATTATAAATAAAACATTTTTTTGTATTTCATAGTAAATAGCTTTTTTTACCATACACAAATAATATAGGATTTACAACTTAGGGAACGTATTTACGCATATCACGTGCATGCAAACAGGTGACTATGTGGGACTCACAGGCTAGAAAAACCAGTGTTACCCGTCCATGTCTTAATGGAACACCGCAGTAACCAGTATCGCTTACGCACTTAACACCCTGACGGCAGGGCTGCCGATGCAGACCACAACAACCAAGGGGATGCGAGATGCTCCTAAAGTTCACTCTGCTATCAAAGAAGTACCATGAGCAATCCACATGGTACACCTCACAGTGTTTCTATTGGCTTTATACCCGGCTGGATTGCCGGATGCTTATGACCCCCTCTGGGACTCGTTATCGTAGGAAACGTAAATTTTAAAGAGGTTGGAAGTTTTCAAATAAGTATCAATGAATTTGTCAGTAATATAGAAAATAAGCGATAAAGATAGACAGATCCGAATATTTAAAAAGTAAAAGAGTAAAGAGGTTATTAAACCTAGTTTAATCTTACTTTTCGCGATGACGCCTTAATAGAAATCATCTCACACGCTTTTTATTTGTCGTAGTGTTAGGTAAGAATTGTCACTTGCAATGCATTACAAGTTAGTTCGTTACGCTAGCCTGTTAACCAACTTTCCTAATCGAAAAGTAAAAGAAGCTTCGTAGTTGCAGGTAAATGTTATGTGCACATATGTACATACACATATACCTAAGCACTAAAGCTTTTACGTCAGTCATCAAAGCTTTCATTTCAATTTTGGAAGCTTTCTATAACTGAATTAAATTACTTATTTAGTTAACCAATAATAATATTAAGACACCGCGAAGACAAAAGCGACACCGTGGATCCAGGGGGAAATAACATCTGTCCCTCACCACTTGCTAATCTACATTGGCCGTCCAGAGTAGACCACAAAGACCAAGTTCGAAAGGGTGAAAGTGCTCAATCTGCCTTGTAACGAGAACACACCCTCATGAGCTTTTCTGCAGAAACCACTGCACACCTTTCGACTCCCTTAGCTGATTTAGTTCCTACGTATTGGCCGATAACCGTCTTTGATCAATTTCCTCAATATAAGGGAGATTACACATCAAAACTAAGCTTTTTAATTCAATGTTATCGCTTTTATATTTGTCTGAATATTTTTATTAAAGTTATATAAAATATAGATTTAAAATATGTTGTAACTTTCATCAATTAATTTGAAATAAATGATATTAAGTTATTAATATACATAAATGTTTGTGTGGCTGTAGCACATAAAGACGGTGGCAGCAGGTTCAGCATTTCCGCATTTAAAAAATATTCAACGTATTTTTTTATTTTCTATATACTTATAGCAGCAAAGGAATATCTGAGAGAGAATTTACTTTTAGGTACATTTTTGACTAAGTACCTATTTTATTTTGATAATTTATATTATATTATGTATATACATATTTGATTAATAAAAATAAATAATTACAAACCTGTAAAATCTTTTATTTACATGACATTTTATTTCCTGTAAACTTCTTTTGTTTACATACTTGGCGTATGTTCCTGAAATAAGATAAACACAACACATTTTACGCGATATTATTAAAACTTACGCCATATTAAAAATTTAGTTTAAAAATATTTTACCTATTATAACGAGGGTTATTGTAAATACGATATAAATATATGAAAGGCGACCCATGTTGTGGGCTCGGATTCCGTTTAAGCACTGATTTGTCGGCATCGTATCGCAAAACTTTCTTTCTATTAATGGTAGTCTAGAAGAAAAAGGTAAAAGTAATATTATTATTTAAATGTTATAATAGTATAATTTATTACATGTTGAATTATTCTTCTAGATATGATTTATTAGTTTCCGGATTTATCAAAAACATACATGCTAGTGGTGATATAAATAATGTTTTAATTAATTAAAGGTTTTGAGTAGAATCAGAAAAATCAAAAACAAAAAGTACCATAAGTTAATAAATAATTACCGAGAATTGACTTGTATATTTTTAAGCTTAGTAGGTATTTTTTATAACTTTAGAGCTTTCGGATAACGTAGTCTAAAAAGCGCAGCATCTAAAAATCATAAGATAGAATCTTCGATCAAAAATATATTGTTGATCGAAGGATAGAATATAGTAATTTTTTGAAGTTTAAAAAATATTGAATATAAGTGGATTATGCACTTTTGAAAACGAATTTTATTTGAGTCGACATTGATGATACCCTCAAAAACATTTTATCTCCCTATAACCAAACTGAAGTTAGACTTTTGGGCTTAAGAAAAGTACGAGGTTATTTTTAGGACGCTTAAATATAGAATAATTATAAATTATAACGTGTTTCTGCATACATACAATTTATATAAAAATCTATCATGACTTCATTATTTTAAATTTTATCGGAAATAAAAATAAGTATCATCATTAAATTCTAAGGGTGTAAGTTAGCGCTAAAAAATCTCGAATTATTCACGTTACTATAAAACTGCAAAACTAGTTCATAATGGCAGCCCCCGACGGATATGCTTGAGTTTATCTCGCGTTACATTTATTTTTTAAGTCGAGGGTTTTTAAATTATTATATCCTTTTCAAATTACTTTTTAACCGTCGTAGGTTTTTTCAAAAATTTTAATTTTGCTTTTTATTAAGTTAATGAAAAGACATGGGTAGCAAATGTGTTGTGTCTATAGATGTAAGGCCGGTTTAAAAACAAATAAACCAATCCGTTTAAAACGAAAAGAAACGTTTAAAACCGAAATAAACCATTTTTTTCGATTTAAAACCATTGGTGTTGATGACTATGTTTTTCTTATTATAACTACATTTTCTGGATTTTACCGAGGTAGGGATATAACGGAGTACCTATAAACTGGGTAGATTTTTCATATGTGTGATATACTGATATTGATATACTTAGCGGATTTAGTTCTAGTTGGTCCGTGCGACCAAAGGTAGGTTTTACCTAAGTTATAAAAAACTCTATTGATAAGTTAAAAACTTTGTGTTGGTAAATAAACATTTTTTTCATTGTGTTCGAACGATATAAATAATCAATTTGATTTGATTTAAAGCCAAACTTACACTCTCGCACTTGTCTGTGTAATAAGTACCTACATATAACACCTCCAGGTAAATTTCTAAGAAATTAATTAAATTTCTAAATTCTATTGCCCACAATAAGGTGAAATACACAGTTCTTTTATTTTTGTAGGCGAGTTTTCAATTGTTTACAACGATTTATTTGGGGCTTACAACGGCAACATCTTTATATATATAATTCTTCTGTAAGTATGTCACTGAACTTCTCTCAAACGACTGGACCGATTTTGATGAAATTTTTTGTGTGTGTTCAAGGGGATCTGGGAATGGTTTAGATTCACAATTTGAATAATAGTTTTCATCAAAAAAAATATTAAAAAAAGTTTGAAATTTTCAAATTAAAGACGTGTAGACAGGACAACGTCTGTCGAGTCCGCTAGTTTTATTTAAAACGTTTCGAATCGGTTATTTTACATGATACATATAAGTCAAGTATCCATAATATGTTTCTCAATGATTTTTATGTATCGTTCAGAAACGATTGCTAAATGCTAACATGAAAGTTGAAACTTCAGAGAAGCAAATGTCAAAATCGAATTGCATTGAAGTTTGATTGTGTCAGAGCCGGCTTGTAAATTTCTCTTGATAAAAGTTAAAACAACTCGATTTCCTGAATTAGATAAATTTAGTTAATACCTAGTACATATAATTTATTATCTGCCTGTATTACAAAATCTTTAAATATGAAATGTATAATTATAATAGTACAAATTTTATTTATGTCAAGTATTTGTCTTGGGACCCTGTCTCCACCGGTTGATAAAAAATCACAGAAAGGGGTGAAACCCCAAGAAGGATCTCGAAAAAACAATGTTTTGGATCGTAAATTAGTTGTTGAAACTCCATATGTAAAAGATGTTCTTAAATATCATGCTACTTATCATCAAGATACATCGCTGCGAAATTTTAAGAATACTGTCTTGGGTTATGTTACTCCAGTAAGATTATTATTATTCATCTGTGAACGTTTTAAACTCTTATTTTAAACAAGGATTTTTTTGAGTTTGAAGTTGATATACTATTATATGATTTTAGTGGAACAGTAGAGGATATGATGTAGCAAAAACATGGGCTTCCAAGTTTAACTATGTCTCTCCAGTCTGGCTGCAAGTAAAGCGGCAAAGCCCTAATATTTATATTATTTCTGGATTACATGATGTGGATAATGCATGGATGAAATCAGTGAAACAAAAAGGCTTGGCAAATAATTTAAGAAGTAAGTTATTTTATCTAATTTTAAAACTATTGGAATATTTTATACTTTTGTATGAAAAAAATAAATTTAAATTAACTTGGTGTAACTAAGAAATATGTAATATAAAGTAAATATGTAATAAGTTGATAAAAAATGTCACCTTTATTTTAAGGAATATTTATGAAATTAAGTATTTTATGTTTTAGTTGTGCCAAGGCTGCTATTTGAAAATTGGCAGCCAGCTGACTTGAAAGCATTCTTCATGGAGCCAACATCTATGACAGAACAAAAGGCATTAATTGAAGAAGTAAAGAAAGCTTGCAAGTTGTGGAAATTTAATGGGATCGTTTTAGAGATTCTATCCCAAATCGGAAAGTATATAGATAAGTCAGTCAAGTTTGTTCAACAATTCGGTAAGTATTCTATAAAACTAAAATTAAGAGTAGAAATTATTTTCTTTTTATTATTTAATAATACCTTGAAGTTTTTCCCATGTGTTGTATCTAATATGTACTATGTATATACATTTACAGGTTTGGAAATGACTGAAGATGATCTTAGTTTAATTCTAGTCTACCCTCCCTTTAGAGGTTATCCAAGTGATGAATTTTTTATTCAAGCTTTCAATGAAATTTATCCCTATGTTGACGCAGTTTCTGTTATGACATATGATTTTTCAAATCCACAGAAACCTGGTAAGTCTTTAAAAATTTGTATAGTTTAGGTATGATTTAAAATATTGAATATTATATAACATTTAAATTTGTTTAGGCCCTAATGCACCACTATATTGGATTAGATTATGCATGGAAAAGTTAATAGACAATGAAGAAAATCCCACAAAAAGATCGAAAATCCTATTAGGCTTGAATTTCTATGGTAACTCTTATACTGCTAATGGAGGAGGCCCCATTGTAGGGATGGAATACATTGAATTACTGAAAAATGCTAAAGCAAATCAAGTTTTATCATATAACAACAATACTGCTGAAAATTATGTTGAAATTAGGTAAGAAAAATTGATATTAAATAAAATTTATACCTGTAATGTGACAACATTATAAATATGAAAATAACTCTTTCTGTTTGTTAGCTCTTCACTCCTAAACCAGTGAATAGATTTCGATGAAATTTGGCAATGGCATAGACTGCATTTTGGGGAAGACCATAGGCCATATTTCTGGCCGTCAATGCAAGAACATCCTAAACATTTTTTTGGTTTTTCGACTTAAATATTACAAAGTATTCTAAATATGCTAAAGTTTAATTGTTTTTGCATTTTAATTTTTTCAACTTTTTGCAAATGCAAAAATAGCCTAACCTACTCGGTGTATTTGCATTGTGATTGCTGTCATATATCTTAGGCTGAATGAGATGCAATCGTAGGCATTAATGTGTCGTGAATATAATTTAGAAACATAGGGAAAAAAGTTACATACGATTTGGCGTAACCCATACATGTATTTCGAAAAATTTGAAAATATTCAAAATAATAAATTAAAGAAAAACTTAAAAAAAATCTTTGAAACTTAAGTTAGCACTAAGTGAAAAACTATAAATAAGTTTTAAAATAAATGAAAATATTTAACAGCAATTTTCTCGAAAGTAGCTGTCAGTCAGTATGTTAGGCTACTTTTGCGCTGACGGCCTCATTTTATCCCTGCTGCTCTTACCATGGGAGTGGAGTGGAGTTGCCATGGTATATTGTGTTGGAAAATGATATTGAGAGATGCTGCTTTTTAGCTCTATACGAAACATTTGTTCTAATAAACGACCTTAATGTTTAATTTTAGTTTGTTTTATTGTTTGTCTTAATTTCAGGACATCACAGGGTACAAAGAAGATATTTTTCCCCACATTATACTCTATTCAGAAGAGACTGGACCTAGCGCGGGAGTATGGGACAGGAGTTGCCATATGGGAACTAGGACAAGGCTTAGATTACTTTTATGATTTACTTTAAGTTTTATGTGATATTACCTTTATGCTAATAAATAATTTATTATTCCTGATACTGTTTTTTTAAAACTGCTGCACATATTCCAGTTATATAAAAGTTTATCTAATTACATGAGATTAATAAGTCAGAAAGAAACCTATTTTAAATAAAAACCCGACTGCAGCGCCACCTACTGGTCCAGTTGTGATTGTTAACCATCCAGGGAACCTGTATCTGAGAGGTTCACACAAAAAATCATCAAAATTGGTCCAGCCGCTTAAGAGTTCAATGAAATACACATACATGTACAGAAGAATTATATATGTATATAAAGAATAAGGCAGTCATGTGTATTATATGTGTCTGTGTCGATTTTCTTCTGCAAATCAGGAAGACTCCCTCTACATTTTTATTACATTTAGGGCAAAATCTTAACGGTTGATAATGAAAATATTTGCTTCAAAATATGACGAGTTTTTTTATGCTATCCGTTTTGGTGTGTCTCGCCACTATATGTTCCTCAACTTCCACAACGTCCAACCGATTGCTATGAAAGTTTGGGGCTCATGGATATTTGTGTACAAACAATAGTTACGCTAGTATGTATATAAAAGTTCATGTCTTTTCGTTTGTATCTTACTTATACTTTATTATAGTACTGTAGTACTTTTTTGATCGATGGTTTATACATATATGTAAGTCATTTCTTCACATTTTTTAGTGTTATAATAGCAATTTTTATGGAATGGCATTTTGTCTAAAGCATCTAATCCCACAATATACATATGTACATAAATAAACCCTAAAAAAAACTATAAATATGGGGTTAAAAATAAAATGTTCTAAATATGAAAATTTAATTAAAAAATGTTTTCTTAACTAAAATATATATTTATTAACATTCAGTCTTCTATATAACTACACTAAATGCCTAAAACACTCAGACTAAGTAATAATATAGACAGAGTATCATAGAACTAAACATGAAGCCAAAGAATGTTTTGAAACAGAGTACAAATAGTGATAGAATATTCATTACTTTCATATGTAAATAAATGTTCATAAATAAAAATCGCTGACGGATTTTATTATAATAAAGAAAAAAAAAGTAAGCTAGCTTTCTTTTAAGGACAAGAGAGAAGAGAACGAATGCTTAAAAATATAAAAGAATGTATTTTCTTCTCAAAAATTGTAAATTAACGATTGATAACTATATAAATTTTCCCATAATCTTTAAAGATATTAAACCATCTGTATAGCAAAATTAAGAAAAGATAAACAGAAAATCACGCTACTATTTATGAATTTAGCATTTTTTTTGATGGGATCCGTCTATATTCCTTAGTCTGAGCCTGAAACATTATAAAGTTTGACAATGTAGGTACATTGTACACGATCTCATGATGTACATGTTAACTGATTATTCTACTTTTGGCTTTTTCTTCAACTCCATCATAGATTGTGGACCTTTCATTACACGATGCATTAGATCCCAACACATTTTTGCTGGGAGTAAGCTGAAATAAAACAAATATTTTTATAAATTTGCATGATATATGTATATGTGTGTCCGTCTATGCTTTAATTCCAAAAAAATAGAGTGCACGCAACTAATATGATAACATTATAGAGATAGAGAATTGGTTTATTTTTTGTTTGGCAGAATCCCCGAATCTGTAGGACTACTAAACAAAAGGCTTAGCTCTATAATAGTTAAAAAAGAAAAGAAATTAAATAAAAATCGATATATATATATACTCTCGTGAGCAAAAAAATCGACTCAGACGACACATCTGTAGTCGCAAGTCACTGGAAAAAAAACTGAAAGCAAATATATTTTCTTCATAGTAAAATCTTAAAACTGCTAGTATTAGCTTCAAAATGATATAAAATATTGTAAGGTTTATTGCTCACAAAACCCAACAATATGTTGTGATCAGTAACCACCCTTTTTACGCTTGTTTACAATAGTGCTAATTAAGGGTTACTGACCCATATAAAAGGTTATCCTCCTGACCCACCCTTATCAGTTAGCCGTCAAACGTCAACCGATACACATCTCCGTTATCAACAATCAAGAATTCTACCTGAAAATGGACACAACAAGCGATTTAGCAGCTCAAGCGATCACCCTATTGCGACAAGGCCAGAGTCAGCGTGAAGTGGCACGTGCACTGAACATGAGCCAGTCTGCTGTTTCCAGAGTTTACCATCGTTACCAGGAGACTGGTGGCTTTAATCGAAGACGCGGTTCCGGTAGAAAAAGGTGCACATCAGAGAGAGATGACCGATTTATTGTCAGCACATCGTTAAGAAATCGGGCCCTCACTGGCGTTCAAGTCCAACAAGAGCTCAGAGAAACGCGAGGAGTAGCTGTGAGTGGCTGGACAGTCAGAAGACGACTTAAGGCAGCTAAGCTTGAGCCAAAAAGGCCAGCTACTGGCCCCAAATTAACCCCAGACCACCGAGCAGCCCGCCTACGTTTTGCTAGAGAACATGTTAATTGGACTGACGAACAATGGATCACCGTTCTCTTCTCAGACGAAAGTAGAGTATGCTTGCATGGTAGTGATAGAAGAGGACGAGTCTACAGAAGACCTGGGGAAAGATTCGCGCAGAGCTGTATCAAAGAAAATGTTGCTTTTGGAGGAGGTTCCTGGATGGTGTGGGCCGGCATTTCAAGCGAGGCAAAAACCGAATAATATTAAAAAAATAATTTTAATTAAATTATTGTTTTGGCGAATTTTACGTGGTATTTTCTTTACCGTCAACAGTCACTTTTTTTATTGCTTAAGACTCCATCTCATTCAATATTTTTTCTTTACCAGAAAACATTTTGTAATAACAACATAGACCACTCATTTTAAAGCTAAAACAAAGAACTTTGAGATGTTAAAATCAGAAATATAATAAAAGCTTCCGATTTTTTGCTAGAGCTTTTTAACCGCAAGCGTGCGTCCTGAGTCGATTTTTTTGCTCACGAGTGTATATTGATTTTTATATATATATGTGTGTGTATATATATATATATATATGATGAGATCTTCTCATAACCCCCGAAAAACTCATTTAGGAAGGTTCTCGTTTTTTATTCAAAAAAGATCTTAAAAATCGGTGCACAACTGGATCGGTGAAGATATATGCGAAAGTATATGCGTACAAAAAAATTACGTAAATCACTCTCCTAAATTTTTACCTAACTTTAAAATTACCAGTATCGACCATAAATTTTTCTAATGCTATTTATAGATTATTTCATTTTTCAACACCATGACTACCAATTTAAACGACTTACCATTTAAGGGGCAACAGATATCTAACAGATCCAGGCATCACACAGTTGACTTCGTTCTTTCTGATAGAGTCGATCATGGTCTCGGCGACATAGTCGGGCTCTAACATCGGCATGAGGCGCGGCGTGACCCCATCGAACATCCCCGTGTTTATGTACGACGGGCACACCAGTGTGGCGTGGATTGTGTTGTGTCCGTGCGCCTGAAATTGTATATTTTAATATTTTAATGATAATAAATAATAGATTAATTTATCAAATATTTAAACTACATTTTTTAAACTTTTTATATTACTTCTTTTATTTATTTAATACCTATAGGTAATAGGGGAAATGGTTTAAATTTGCAAGGATACAAGAAATATAAAGTTTACATAAAAGCAATGTCCTACAATATAAGAGATAGAAATGTTTTTTTTTATAGATCCATTAATCAATATTAATTAAAATTAATTAACAACAAGTTTGTTAAGAAAGTATTGTTTTAAACAAGCATCAGTCGTACCCGCAGTTCAGTGAAGAGACTCTCATGGAATCCAACAGTAGCGAATTTAGTTGCACTATAGTCTGTACAACGGTAAGTACCGAGTAGACCTGCCACGGAGCCCATGGTCACAATGTGGCCTTTACCTGAGTTGATCATTTCCGGAAGAAAAGCTTTCACAGTCTGGAAAAATGTTAAAATAACTTATTATCTTTTCATATACCACTGATATAATTGTTGCCCTCTGATATACGCAACAATAGATACCGCTCAACAACATCGATACCGAGAACCACAGCGAGCAGCCAGTATGTGACGGAGCACCCGCTTGTGTCTTAGAACCATAGCCGACAAGACGGCCGACACCTTAATTTAAAGAATTCATGTTCTTTTCCTTTTTTATGTAAAAGTGTATTCAAGACGGCAAGATGTTTAATCAGCGTCCAGAATTAAATTATTGTATTCAGTCCAGTTTTATTTATATGTCCACCAGGACCCTAACAATAATTAGTAATATAAATAATCATTAAGTTCAGGGTCAAAGTTGAAGGAAAGTAGGTACAGACTATGGAAATTTTTAGACTACAAGCATTGCCCGCGGCTCCGCCCGCGTTGATGACCAAAAACCAAATTCTTAGCTTTTACATATTAGCATCCTCTTACAATACAGTTTTTGTATTTTTTATACTTATAGATTCGGCCTCTGTATCGATAATAATGTTTATTTCAATAAGATTTTCCAAAAAATATTTAATATACAGATTCGGCTTAATTACAATTTTATTATACTCGTATGTATAGATTTCATTAGTTCTACGGGGATCTCTAGAATACCTGTTTAGAACTAAGAAAAATATATTTGCGTAATATGGTACATTTTCACCTAGTTGTTTTCAATATAGATATCTATAGTAGATGTAACAATATGTATATAAAATTAAATTCCACAAAATACTTTGTATTTTAATAATATTAACTCTTTTATACCTATGTTGAAGCTTTCGTATGCGAGAAATGTAGTTCAAAATATACTTCCACACTGACTAATTATTTTGATTATACAAATTTTGCTGACAAAATTGCTTGTAAAATTCTAGTTTTAATATAAAAATTATAATGAATAATATATAATTATAAATGTAAAGTTTATTTTATTGATTTTGTCATATAACTGTCTCTACATGCTCGTGTAACAAATTTAAACTTTCAGCCCTTCAATAGGTCATTAAGCGTGAATGTATAATGGCCTGATAATGTTAGTAAAAAATTTTAAGTTCTTACCCAATAATGTGAAAGAATGTTAACTTTGTAGGTGGTTTCGATGGCCGTGTCACTGAGTTCCAATAGAGTTTCACCGAAAACGATACCGGCATTATTAATCAAGATATCTACCTTTCCTACCTGTAGAGCCAAATATAAAATCGATATAAGTATTTATAAACAGTTGACATTTCCACCTCTCGTGAACTTATAAAAATATTTTATTACACATAACGAAATATTTATTTCACTTGATAAATGTGAAGGAGTCATACATGATACAAGTTTAAGAATACATAATAACTTTCTATCTTCATTTCTTATGAAACTTAAGACGCCCAGTATTAAGTATTTTGGCGTGGATCCAAATATATACTATAAATATATATTTATAGTACATATTTATAGGTAGATAAATATATATTTATATGTATATTAAGAATAAAAATATACCTAAGTATATATTTTTTTATTCTAAAAAATCAATAAATACACTCTTAAAGTCAACTAAAAGTTTAACATTGAATGGTGCTTTGCTCAAATGAGTGACTTGCTGTATTTAGGTTAATTGCTAAATATGCATAGTTACGAGAAGTATCTACTTTTGAATTACTTAAGTTCAGTAAAGTATAAAGTCCATCAGACCTGTTTGATGTTTCTTTTTATTATATAAATTAGATACTTATTTGTATTGAATTTTATTGCGAGTCTAGTTTGAGAACACAGTATATACCTAATCTTGTAAGTTAAAAACATAATTATGTCGTAATATATTCGTGTAGGCAAACAGAACGTGACTCATCGCTTAGTTTAAACTTTCCATTGAATTTAGAACGATATGTACCTATATGAAAGCGGTTCAGGCTAGGTACTTTGAAGGCAGTGGTAGCCCAGTGGTAACGCGCTCGCTTGGGAAACCGATTGAAGCGTGTTCAAATCCCGGGTCTCGCACCTCTGATATTTTTATGTGCGAATAATTTCCAACATGATTACTACTTTTTAAATAAAACTATCTTTTCGGATTTTGTCGCGGATTTATTTGGATTTTAATTTCCCGACGTTTCGAATGCTTTACAGCATCCATGGTCACGGGAGAGACTGAGGTGTTACATATCTTGAATGTATAGTTGTTACAGACAGCCTACCCACAATTAACAAAATGAAAATTGCACCAATTACATTACAATATTTTTTAACTTTAAACATTTTTATAATTTTAATTATAATTGAATATGGAAAATTATTTATTTAATTTTGCTATTATTTTTATAATTATTACAATTTTAAAATATTAATTAGTAATCTATATTTAGTGTTGCCATTATTATATTTATAACCATAAAGAAAAATATAAAATGTAGTATTAATTATTAAAGCCATATAATTGTTCTATGTGTAATTTAAAAAGTTAAAATTAATTAAGGATAATAATTTTAATTTAGTTTGCTATTATTTAAAAACAACTTACTAAGCATATATACTTTTACAAAACGATACCGGCATTATTAATCAAGATATCTACCTTATAAAAAGTAGTAAATATAATAATGGCAACACTAAATATAGATTACTAATTAATATTTTAAAATTGTAATAATTATAAAAATAATAGCAAAATTAAATAAATAATTTTCCATATTCAATTATAATTAAAATTATAAAAATGTTTAAAGTTAAAAAATATTGTAATGTAATTGGTGCAATTTTCATTTTGTTAATTGTGGGTAGGCTGTCTGTAACAACTATACATTCAAGACATGTAACACCTCAGTCTCTCCCGTGACCATGGATGCTGTAAAGCATTCGAAACGTCGGGAAATTAAAATCCAAATAAATCCGCGACAAAATCCGAAAAGATAGTTTTATTTAAAATGTCGAATATTCGCGTAAATCTAAGAAAGTATTATGATTACTACTTGTCTTAACGGTGAACGAAAACATCGTGAGGAAACCTGCATGTCTGAGAGAACTTAGCAAGTTTTCAAAAGACATGTGAAGTCCGCCAACCTGCACTTGGCCAGCGTGGTGGACTATGGCCTTATTCCCCTTGCACCTAGTGAAGGGAGGCCCGAGCCCAGCAGTGGGACGCTAAAAAGGGCTGAATACAACAACTTTAGACAAAAATGAATAGATACAATACAATTTACGAAAACCGGAAATATGAGATTTGTATTGTAAATAAAAATAAACAAAAATAACTGCACAAAGTAAAAACTGTAGGCACTTAATATGTTCTCTTAATCTTACCTCTTCTTTTACTTTCTCTGCGGTTTTATAAACTGAATCCCGGACTGTTAAATCAACAACGTAACACGCTACTTGGTATCCTTCATCTTCCAGAGCGAGCGACGTTTTGTCTAAAGCTAAAAATATTATTATTATAAATTTATATATAATATATATTTATTTAATGATTTATTTTTAAAGTGCATGTATAACTAAATATTCTGTGATTATTTCAAGCGTCTGCCTGTTGCCGTTATCAGTATCGAGTAAAAACGAGCAAAAAAAATATCACGTTTGTTGTATGGGTGCCCCCTTAAATATTTATTTTATTCTGTTTTTTAGTATTCGTTGTTATAGCGGCAACAGAAATACATCATCTGTGAAAATTCAACTGTCTAACTATCACGGTTCATGAGATACAGCCTGGTGGTAGATGCACAGACAGACAGACAGACAGACGGACGGACAGCGGAATCTTAGTAATAGGGTCCAATTTTACCGTTTGGGTACGGAACCATAAAAAAGTTAGATGAAAAATAAAACATGACAAATGCAATCGACTCTAAAGCAACGAGTTCCTTTAAACTATCATCGTCAGGTAAATTGCACTGTGATTATTACGTAGCATGGGTTTACGAGTGGTCCGTCATTATGTTGAAAGTTTTGCAATTTTGTATCGCTTACATAGCGGTTATTATGTTTATTAAACTGCCTCGGTGGTGTAGTGGCTAGCATGTACGGCTGCACACCCGGAGGTCCTGGGTTTGAGTCCCGGGTCGGGCCAAGTTTAGTTATTGAGTCTTTCTGTATAGTAAGTCTCAGTAACAGCCCGGAGTTGGGAAGTTGGCGGTGTTTCACCCCCGTGCCTCGGAGAGCACGTAAAGCCGTCGGTCCTGCGCCTTAACTCTCACCGGTCGTGTCGAGTGGTCGTCCCACCGGAGTATGAGAGTGACAGGAATAGAGAGTGCACTTGTGTCTGCGCGTATACTTAAACACTATAATATCTCCTGCGCAGTTGGCTAATCTCAATGAGATTGGCCACCGTAGTTGGAATCGGCTAGGAGAACATCATCATCAGCATTATGTTTTATTTTTAATTTTTAACAGATCCACTATATTATGTTTGCACACTAAAAGTGAAATCTACGTTCATTTTTTTTTGTAGTTCACATTGACCTGATGACACTTAAAAGGGCACGAAAATGCAATCTGACAAGTTTAAAGTTACTTAAATCAATCACGTAATAATGCGAAGATCATTAAATGTACCTTATTGCCTACTAGCATTGCCCGCGATTCCGCCCGCGTTCAGATGACCAAAAACCAAATTCTTAGGTTTTACATATTAGTATACTCTTACATTGCAGTTTTTGTATTTTTTCTCAGAAATGAGATAGTTTCCCGCGGTCAAAAGTATCCTATATGTTGACCCGGATAACCAGCTATCATCATACCAAATTTCATCAAAATCAGTCCAGTGGTTTTCTCGTGATGCGTTCCCAGACAGAGACAAAAATTTTAAAAACTATAGATTCGGCCTCTGTATCGATAATAATGACTATTTCAATAAGACTTTCCGGAAAAAAATCCATGTACAAATTTGGCTGAGAATTTTATTATATGTATAGAAGATGTTAACTTACCTTCTTGGTTGACATCCCACAAAACAACTTTTGCTCCAAGTCTTGCCAACTTAATCGCTAAATGCTTTCCTACCCCACCTGCTCCTCCAGTTATTAAAATCACTTCATCTTTTAGATTCTTCATAGGTCTGATAACATTCGGCACAAGGGTCCAAAATAGAGACTCCAAAATATAATAACATGACAACACCAAAAATAAAACAGTGTCTTTAGCTATATCAAATATACTCGAAACTTGCGATGGCGTGTTGAACTTCGTGCCTTCCAACATGATGTGTATCTGTAAAGTAAAGAATAATAATAATCATTTGAATAATATGACATGAACAGTTCGTCAGCTGATTTAAGAAATTTATGAATTTTAAATAGGGTTTTGTTTAGTTGTCCTTATTAATCAACTAGTAAAATGTAAATTACGTTACCTATTGTATAAATATTGTTATTCTTACAAGCAACTTCTCTCATTGAGATTAGCTAAACACTGCAAGAGATATGATGCACAAGTGCACTCTATATTTATCGGCGCAATAACAAAAATATATAATTTTATTCTTTTATATTTACTTATTCTATTTGTTATCCTTGGACATCCGATAATTTCTAGTAAAGAGAACCTAAAAATCCAAGTTTTCGTCCGATCTACCGCTATTTACATCAAATCTATTATAATAATAATTATAAACCTATTGGTCGGTATGTAAACATTGAAGTTCCACTTCATGAAATCAAATATTTTTTTGTACTCTGCAAAAAATCTCTCTTTTGATGAAGTCTTTTCCGTGAAACAGAAATTTACAATAGTATGTCGCTGAATGGGTGTTATGGCAGAATAATTCTTAATTTGACGGTTTAGGTAAGCATTAATTTACCCCATTGAAATTATCCTTTAGTTGATATTCCCAAGTACCTAATATCATATATATAGAACGTAGTACAGTCGCTTATAGTACCTAATACCTATACTTTTACATATAATCTTAGGTATGCGTGTAAACTTGAATAGAATATGTTAGGTAAACCCAGGTCGAATATCATGTAAGATATACGATATAGATTAAACGAATAACCGTATGAAATACCTGTACATTAAATCAAATGTTTGCGAATTTAGAAATTATTGTTTTTGTAAATAGGTATGTTTTCTTTCGTGTTTTCTTATTACTTATTTTGATTAGGAACTTGGTAATTTAAATTACGTAACGCAGCGCAGGGAAGGTGCCTCCTGGTCGTAAAGTTACATATATGTTTTCCACTTAAGACATCTGTTTTGTTGTTGTTTTGGCTCCGTATGAAATTTGAACCTGTCACCTCCGGCTTAGAAGATAGTGCCACCAACTAGCATATTGCGTCATAATGTGGTCTATGGCATTAAAAACTTGTCAAATAGTGAATGGCTATACTAAGAATTTGTAGAGCCCTAGTTTAGGAAGGTCAGACTAGTCTTTAGTTTCAGATATCTAGCTAAATAGTAGTCATGACTTAATTTGGAATATCATACCATGAGTAATTGATATTAAATTGTCTTAGTTTACATTTTTAATAAATCTTTTGGGTCCCTGATATACCTACCTACACAAATACTAAATATAGTATTTGAATATCGTGATAGGTATCATATGTTCGTTTATTTTTATGAACTAGCATTGCCCGCGGCTCCGCCCGCGTTCGGATGACCAAAAACCAAATTCTTAGGTTTTACATATTAGTATACTCTTGCAATGCAGTTTTTGTATTTTTTCTCAGAAATGAGATATTTTTCCGCGGTAAAAAGTATACTATATGTTGACCTGGATAACCAGTTATTTAAAAAAATATATTATATATAAATATAAAGTAATATTATTTTAAGATTATTTCTTCAGAAAAATATCCTACAAAATGAATATATTTTATGAGTTCAAGTGGAAAAATATATGATGAATATTATAGATGAAAAAATGAATGACAAAAAATAATAATAGAACGTGTGGCTGTATTTACAGCTGTTATTTTTTCCTTGGATACTATTTATTGGTATATTATATAAACAAAAAGATCCTGATGATGTTCTCCTGACCGATTCCGGCCACGGCGGCCAATCTCATTGAGACTAGCCAACTGCGCAGGAGATATTATAGTGCACAAGTGTACGTGCAGACACAGGTGCACTCTCTGTTCCTGTCACTCTCATACTCCGGTGGGACGACTGCTCAACACGACCAGTGAGAGTTAAGGTGCAGGACCGATGGCTTTACGTGCTCTCCGAGGCACGAGTGTGAAACACCGCCAACTTCCCAGCTCCGGGCTGTTACTGAGGCATACTTTACAGAAAAACTTAATAACTAAACTTGGCCCGACTCGGGACTCGAACACAGGACCTACGGGTGTGCAGCCGTACATGCTAGCCACTACACTACAGAGGCAGTTACATCTAATCTAATACATAAATGATCATATAAAATATATAAAACACCAATTTCGGGCGAGTACTCCATTGTCATACAGCAACACATTTTCTTTATATTTTCCATTCAATGATATCTCAATGAACGTCCATTACAAATCACTGTAATGCGTATCATATAAGTCAAGGTGATGCATAACTTTTTAGATTGTACCTATTTCTACATCATTCGTATAAACTATTAGTTAAATGTATTTATTTATTAGCCAATAAATTATACTTGAGTAATGCCACGGTTTTCTATTTTAGAAGAGAATGGATGCCACTTTCCTTTCCCTTTAATAAAACTATATTAAAACCTGATAAGAATACTATTGAAGTATTTGTGTGATTGTTTGTCACAGGTTTAAGATACATATGTATGTATTCCTAGGTACCCCATTGTATCACTACATAGTATAAAACAAAGTCGCTTTCCGCTGTCTGTCTGTCCCTATGTATGCTTAGATCTTTAAAATTACGCAGCGGATTTTGATGCGGTTTTTAAATAGATATAATGATTCAAGAGGAAGGTTTAAATGTATAATACATGCATATTATAGTACAGAAAAGCCGAGAAATTCAAAGATTTGTATTTCATACTAACCGTTAAAACGTACCTGGGGACGAACACGAGCGAAGAGAGGGTGAGTTTATAACATTACTAGCGAGTTACATATGTGCCTAACAACAGCCTGTGTGCTATACTAGGTCACAATCTATCTATGTACTAAGTTTTATCCAAGTCTGTCCAGCAGTGAAGGAGTTGACATACAAACTTTCGCATCAATAATAGTAGCCCGATTTACATATTTTATTACTAACAATAGCCTATGGCATAGTTAATCTGTGTAGAGCATTTTATCCGAATCTATTTCACGTAAAAGAGTAACAAACGTACAGACACACATACAAAATGGCATTTTCATAGAATTTCTTTACTTGCTTTAGTGACTTTCACTTTTTATCTGTTCGTTAGCCAAAAAACAAGCACCTGTCAAGAATGTTTGGAAAGTAGCCCATAGAAGACTGTGAAGAAATCTAATGCAATTCTGTGTTTACATACTTAGTTTCATTTTTAATCTTACCATCTTGACTTATACGTCTAATATTTAACAAAAGATTAATAAGTAGGTATTAATATGTAAAATTTAATTAATATCCTTATTAACGTACGTTTTTTATTATGTTTTTTTACTTTTTTTTTCTTGATATTTTGTCTTGACTCAAAAAAATTCCATAATATACGAGTAGGTATTTTACAGCAAAGAAAAATATATTTTAAGTTAGTTATAAATTATAAAAACTTAAGTAACTTAGTAGTGTGACGTGTAGGTATTCTTAATAATATAAACACAAAAAATACAGGTATTTTAGCTTCCTTGTTATTGTTGAATAAAATTTATATGCGGATACATTAAAATGAGATACAAAAAGCAACAAAAAATTGAATGAATAATTCAGTTGGTAAAAATTTTTAAATATAAGATTATAGAAGCAAGGTATAAATATTATATTATGATCTGTATAATTACGCGTTCGAACAAAATAAGCAATGTATAAAATAACAAATAATCTATTTAATTTTGAGACTGACTACATTTATTATACACTAGCGACTCACCCTCGCTTCGCTCGGGTTCATCCCTAGCTTGTTTCCCATACAAACTTTCATCCCCATTTTCAATCTTTTAAGGGATGATTTCCGGGATAAAAATCTTATGTCCTTCCCTGGGTCTCAAACTATCTTTTACAAAATTTTATCTAAATCGGTTCCGCAGATCCAGAGATTACCCCCTACAACCTCACAAACTCACAAACTACCCATTTTTGTAATATTAGTATAGACTAGTCGAAATTTGGACAGCACTACATAATATGTCGGATATTATGTGGTGCTGGGCAAATTTCAACAAAGTTCATTTTAATACAAAATTCCTATAAAAAAGTACTATCCAATTTTTCCCAAATTTCCCATTCTTCCGACCACCATATCATTTTTTCCCATAAAAATCTTATTCCAGCTATACTGAACATTTTTAAAACGAATGGAAAGCATTTCATTTATATTTATACATACATATATGTATAGAAAAAGAGTTACGCAGCTCTATCATTAAATATGCTCTACATTTGAAGCTTTATGCTTCTTAATAATTTGAAAGGTAGATATATATATGTAATAAAAAATGGAATCTTTCTTTCTAAACAGAGATAACAAGAAATATAATATAACTTTTTAAACAAGAAGATTATTATATATTTTTTATTTTGTTTTAAAAAGTTTAAATAGTATTAAAATTAATAAATATAATATTATTCAAAATTAAGCTCTATATTTAAAAGAACGTACCTTGTTAATTTATATAGCAGTAAAAATAAATCCTTAGTTGAACTTCACTTTGTTCGGTCAAGTTAAGTCGTAGTCGCTGTGTACGCGCCGGCATACTACTGCGCGGGAGTTCCGTTGTTCTGGTCTCGTGGCTTTCTCCTGACGGTAACGGTATTCGAATTGATAATATTATACTTTGTGTTTAGATTATTGTCATTTAGTGTTTAGATATAAGTTTAGTAAGAACTTAAAAGTTTAGAGCGGCTAAAAACTTGACTCTATAATTGAATAATTCATAGTAAGATAGAAATGTATTACGGCGGTATTTGGAATTTTATTAAAGTGGATCGTTAACTATTCCCATATAACTCTCACGGTTGCCAGACATCTTTCTGGGCTGACAGTTGACACTAAAGTTTCATTGCTTAAGCTGTATTATGTACACACACACACACACACACACACACACACATATATATATATATATATATATATATATATATATATATATATATAT